CCTCTGAGTGAACTGAGGGGGACCGGTTCAGGTGCCCGACGGGTGAGTGCATCGCGGGCGGGTGAGGAAAAGGCCTGCTGGGCTGGGGTTCTAGGGGTGAGTGGAGGGCCAGGGCCTCTTGGGAGTGTCTCCGGAGCCCCTGAGGGTGGGACCCGCTGTTGTGGCCAGTGGACCACGGAGCTCAGAGCGGTGGGGGCAGCCAGTGGGGCTGTGCAGTTGACCCATGACAGTGGGGGACAGAGGGGGATGGAGGGGGACAGTGGGGACAGAGGGGGACAGTGGGAGCAGAGGGGGACAGATGTAGACAGTGGGGGGTAAAGGGGGACAGAGGGGGACAGTGGGGGACAGATGTGGACAGTGGGGGGCAGATGTGGACAGTGGAAACAGAGGGAGACAGTGGGGGACAGAGGGGGACAAAGGGGGACATAGGGGGCAGAGGGAGACAGTGGAGGACAGAGGGGGACAGATGTGGACAGTGGAAGCAGAGGGAGACAGTGGGGGACAGTGGGGGACAGTGGGAGCAGAGGGGGACAGTGGGGGATGGAGGGGGACAGTGGGGGACAGTGGGGGACAGAGCGGGACAGTGGGGGCAGACGGGGACAGTGGGGGACCAGGAGGACTGTGGAGAAGCCAGCAGCCTGGAGGCACCCCTGGGAGCTGGGTAGACAGGGGCCATCCATGAAGGTTGGGGGTAGAGATCTGAGTGGTGGCGTCATGACTGGGCCTGGACAGCTGAGAGGCCTCAGGACGCCCCAACGCAGAAGTCACATGGTCTGAAGGGCCTGCACCCAGGGCTCCCCAGGACACGCCAGCACACCCCACTGCCTCCAGGCCCACTGGGGGTTGCTGTGTACCAGGCTCTGTGGGTGGTCACGGGGCTGAGGCCCGGCTGCAGGCCCTGAGGTGGACATAGGGGCTGGGTGGGCACAGTGACACAGAGATGAGGGCACCTGCAGGGCTCAGCCTGTGTGCTGTGTCCGTGAGAGGCCAGGCCTGGGGAAAGAGTGTGTGAGCGTGTGGTCACATCCACGTACCTATGTATTACTGGGAGTTTATATTGGTATGCTAAATATGTGTCTGTGTGCACATCTGCATCTTGGCATCTGTGTGTGTCTGATCACATGAGCAAGTCCACATGGGTGTGCCTATAAGCCTGTGCTGCGTCTGCACACGCAGGTCTGTGTGTGTGTTCCTGAGGGGCACGGGCTGTGGACTTGGGCCCTCCGGCTGCTCTGGGCTGTGTTGGGGCTGCGCCCCTGTGGGCACAGGTGTAGATGGGGGCAATCTTGGGGGACCCGCCTGGGAGCTCCGGTGAGCAACTGGGCTGCTCTGGGAGGGTTTATGAAGAGCCAGGCAGGCTCTGACCACTCCCTGGATGCCTCTCTGTAGCTCCAGCCAAAATGCAACAGCATTGCTTAGTTTTTGTGTGTTTATTATCACTGTGTTTCTTCTGATTATGGCAAGTGATGTTAATGTTTCCAATTAATAACATTATTCTCTTTATTTAAATAAAAAGTGAAAACATTTTAAGGCAGACAATTAGGCAGCTCCCCTGAGAGCTGAGCAGGCAGCAAGGCTTGGCCATTCTCCCAGGGATCCTGGGGGAGAGCACACATCCTCAGCCGCCACGGACCTGGGGCTTCTTGTTGCCAAGGAGACGGTGGGGCGCTGCCGCCCCCAGCAGCCCAAGGTGGTTCTGGTTACTCACCCATTTTACAGGCCAGGGCACTCTCACCAACACCGTCACCAGCTGCGGGAGAAGAGCCGCAGTCAGCTTCCTGCTGTTGAACAAGCAATCCTCCAGAGCTCCAGCCGGCACTCAGGGGTCTCCGGCATCACTCACGTTTCCAGACCCAGCAGAGCCAACTGGTCTCTGGCCCAGAGTCTGGCCTCAGCCAGGAGCTGGCAGGGGGCCTCAGCTGGCCGTCAGTCGGGGGGAGCTGGGCTGGTGGCCGCATTCCCCACGGCGTGTCCAGGACAGGAGCCAGATGGCAGCACGGAAGTCACGCCGGCCTCTTTCTCTGAGGATCGAGCCGGCTGCCTCTCGGCAGAGAGTAAGGAGGATGGACAGGCAAGTGCTGCCAGTTCTGGAACACGCAGTCAGCCACACAGGAGCATGAACCCAGGGCGGCCTGTTTCCAAGCTCGGGCTCTCGACAAAGGCTGATCCCACCTCCAATCAAAGGACCTGGGCCAGGTTGTCAAGCCCGCTCTGTCCCTGAGGCTCATGTCACGGGGTGCCAGCACAAGAGGAAGCAGAGATGCCGTGAGAATCCTCCACAGCTATACCCACCACAGCCCTTAGGTCAGAGGTGGGCCTGAGACGGGCATTTCCTTGCCATGTCCCTCCAGGTGGCAGAAAATGACTCAGGCAGAAGCTGCAGAGTCCCAGAGAGGAAGGGTCCTTGACTGGCAGATTCAGCCCGTTTTGGGGGATAACTTAGATGAAGATGGCCTCTTCAGGAGCACTTACAGAAGGGGGCGGCAGGGGTGCAGAGGGCAGGGGCCCATCAGAAACCAGAGGGGAGCTCAACTTAGATGTCACAGGAGTGGGTGGGAGTGAGAGACATGGCTAAAATCAGACATATGGATGGCTGGATGGTGGAAAGGCTGACCCCTGGTGCCCACGGACACAGATGGACAGTCCTGGCTGGTCTATGGTCAGGCTGACTCTGGGGGAGAAGACACCAGGGAGTGTCCCTAAAAATATATTTGTTTTGAGGATCAGGGTTGCTGTGATATGCTCACGTTAGATTCTGACATTAAGGGCCCCCTCTTGCGTTGGGAGGCTCTTGTACCCAGCACTCTGGCCACTGCATGAAGTGACAAAGACCTCCAGCTGGTTGAGGACAGTCTGTACATGAGACAAAAGGTTGAAATACACAATGGGGGAAAGGGGTCCAGAGGAAACATCATCATCCAGTAAACAGGAGAAAAGAAAACAGAACTATCAACTGATACCAGATAATATTGCTTCCATATAAGAACAAGGAGCAAAGAAAAAAGAAACCCACCAACAACGAAACACAAGACAGCATTTTGGGAGGTTAAGCATATAGTTTCTGAAAGAAAACTGGGTGAAAGTGCTTAAATTCAGAAACAAGGAAACTTATAGAATAAATTCAAAGAATAGAATATTCAATTCATAAATTCACAGAATAGAAATGCATAGAACAAAAGCACGAGAAAACCTAAAACAGGAGAGAAAAACACAAGAGTCAAATAGGAACAATGAGAGAGGTCCAGCATCCGACTGAGCATGGTGCCCAGAAACAGACAGAGCAGGATTCCAGGGCGTGTTCTGGGATCGGCAGCAGAGCCAGCGACCCCGCATGAGGAGCTGGTCAGATGAAAACAGTCTCCAGTGAGGCATGTCACTGAGAAAGTGCAGAGCAAAGGAGGAAGAGGTAGCTCAAGGAGATTGTGCAAGAAGGCAACAAGCTGCCTACAAAGAACTGAATTCTCAGCAATAGTGCATTGTGGATAGCCCTTCACTTTCAAGAGAAAACAGGTTATGATCCAGAAGTGCCAGGCCAGCAAAAACCTGTTACCCAGTTATGAGAGCATAATAATGGCAAATGCAATCATTCCAGGGCTTGGAAGTTCATTTCCCAACACCACTGCCAGGGGTGGTTTGGGGACCAGCTCTAGCGAAACAGGACATAAACCTAGAGGCGGAGGGCCTGACACAGGAATTCAGTGGGAAACATAGATCCGAAGCCAGGTACTGTGAGTAGGAGGCCCAGAGCATGGAAGACTGTCAGGCAATCAGAGACCCCATGATGAAGAATCGACTTGAGCAGACAGGTTCAGGTGTGAGTGGGGGGCCTGACCCGCGGGTCCACAGGTCAGCACTCCCGGCAGGAGGGCCCATGATGACTTCTATTCGCAGACAGATGCCATGGCTGAGAAGTCTGACTATGTGCACAAGCAGCCTGACCCTGAGCCCCACCAAAGGACACAGGCTGTGAGTTACTGGAGGGAGGAGGCGGAATAGACCCCGCACAGCACGAGCCCTCCTGGGTGTAGACTTGGGCCCCTTGGCTGTCATCTTCCGGGGCTATCATCCTGGAAATCCTCTCGAGTTTGAACAAGGGTGTACCTGGCCCTCCCATGGGTGTAGTTGAGTGTCCTTGAGTCTTCTGTTTCTTGGGTCACCCAAGGACGTATGGTCACGCCCACAGCTTAACTCCTGGAAATGTGTACTCTGTCACCAACTTGCAAGAGTCATCTGCAGCTGAAGTCCTGGAACTGAACATGAATGACCCGGTAAGACCAGCCCTGCAGAACCCAGCAACCCCAAGGAGCCAGAGTTGCCCACCAGAACCAGGATGCTGGCCCAGCCGTGGGACAAGGATCACTGATTCACCCATCCCAGCGGCTCCTGGGAGCATCCTCAAACCGCCCCACCCGAGAGACCTGTTTGTCCTCAAACAAATCCATCTGAGAGACCTGTGTGAGCCCCCAGTTCTAAGGAAGTACAAACACTCCCCAAGCCCCAGTGTCCAACCTGCAGCTGAGTGTGGGTCACAGTGCTGTCCCCAGGACCAGGGTGGGGTGTGGTGGGAGCACCCCTGTGGGACTGTGCTCCACTGTCTGTGGAAAGTAACATAAAACTACTTGACAGGCAAACCGAGGGGTGCATTCAAGGATGCAAAATCGAATCTTGTTTGCAGACCTCAGGCACTGGGTCCTGGGTGGGGCGTGGAAGTGACCAGCCCTCCCCGCCTCTTCTCCTGTCCTCTGGGCAGCAGCTCCGCCCTTCGGGTTTTACTGCACCTGGGCCTGGCTCACACAATGACACCCAGCCTCAGACAGCGACGCCCAGCCACGGGGTCCAGGAACTCCCATCTTCCCACCCTCACAGGGAATGCGCTGATTACTGATAAACGGGAGGTTGGGCAGCGATCACCTGGACCAAAGGCCTCCGTCTTCTGGCAGGACAGCTGGTCAGGATAGACGCACAGCAGCGGCAGGCAGCAAGTGCCCAGGGAAGGCATCATGTGGACTGGCTGGTGGCTCTGGCCCCTGGTGGCCATCTGCACTGCAGACCAGTTCCGGGACAATGCGGTGAGACTCATGCAGAGCACACCTGTCATCGACGGGTAAGCAGCCACTCAGGACGGGTCTGGGGTCTGGGCTGGGGGAACTGTGATCAAGGCTCTTGTGACCTGAGACAGGCACTGCCCTGTCTCCCTGAGACTCGGTCTATCCAACTGAAACATGGCCTTTGCTCTTTGCTGGACTCTTTGTGGGATCTCAGGGCCACAAAGACTTCAGCAGAGGAGGGTCTGTGGGAACAAAGCAGGAAGGGGGTGAGTGGCTAGGCCACCGCACGCTCAGGACGGGGTACCTGAGCCCAACCTGAACTTCCTGGGGGCTGGATCCCAGCTCGGGAAGGGGGTGCTGGGGGCCCTGCTTCACAGAAATGGCAGAGAGGGTAGCATTGGGGAGACCCTGCCAGCCCTCTTGACCCTTCTTCTTGAGACCCTCTGTCAAACCCACCCGCCCCGTCCACCTGGCGTGACCCCATCAAGTCCCAGCTTGACCTCATGGAGGCATGTCAGCCTTCATTGCCCCAGACAAGCTCCTGGGCACCCACTCCCACGGGTACCATTCCAGCCAAGACCCTAGAGACATCCTGTCACTCCCTGATGTTACAGTTAACCTGGGCCCGCCTGTCCCCTTCAGTTACCCTCCCCCACCACCCCACCTCCTGCTAGGGGTCAGGCCTGCACCTCTGACTGTCCCTTCCTCCCACAGGCTCGAGGTCAGGTCTCACACTGCAGCCAGGGGGAGGCTTGGAGACCCAAGTCTCACCCCTGTCCTTCATGCTCACCCCCTGCCGTGACTCCCACTGAGCTTGGAACAATACAAAGAAACAAACAAAAGTCCGCACAGCAGCCCCTGGGGCCCCTTGATGTTGCAGGCAGGCCTGGCCGGGCCCTCTCCCCTGATCCTGGCCACAGTTCCTCGAGTACTTCCAGAGCCCTGGGAAGGACACCACCTGCACACACACTCCCGCCCCGCCTGCTCTCCTGCCCGCCCGCCTGCCATGGTGCCCGGCACACTGGCTGCACACAGCCCAGAGGAACAGTATCTGGTGTGCGCTGGCTCTTGGGTACCGGGAAGGTTAGGAGAACACTACATGCTGCTGGGTTTTGTTGGACAAAAGCTCTACGGGAAAAGCAGAGAAAGGGAGTGTCTTGTCACATAAGACCTGCCGGGAGCTGCAGGGTAGCCCTAGAGAAGGAAGTGGCCATGGGGTCAGTGTGCACCCTACCTTCCCTCCCTCCCACAGCCCTCCCCTGACCACTCCTTCCCGTGCTTCCTGGACCTCCTGTCCCCCTGCTCGCCACTGCCCCACAGTATAGAGAGGTTTCTGCAGAGGCCGCTGCCCTTGGCTCCCACCCCGGAGGCCCTGCTGTCTCACAGGTCCCGGTTCAGGGACTGGGCATCCCAGGCCAGCAAGCATAGGAAGATGATGCCACAGAATGAACCAGGGAAGCTGTTCCTTCATTCTGGAGGACTCAGGGCAGCCGGACACAGAGAGAGGGGGTCTTTGTCTAGGTAATGGAGCTGTCCAGAGGTCCATGCGAGAGGTAAGATGGCTCACAGAGCCCAGACAGCCAGGAGTACTCAGGACGCTGGGATCTGGGATTATCCAAAGTCTTAGAAAACTAAAACTAGGTTGACAAAAGCAAAAGCAGTGTAGGTAAGAGACACAAAGAAGTAGCTTTAACAACAGAGAAGTGCAGAGGAAGCCCTGGCACAGCATTCCACAATAGGGCAGCCACCATTCCCACAGTTACCTCATGATTTAACATAGCTGCACCAGCTCCAGACATCACATCCATATGCCAGAGCTGGTCTAAGTGTGCATTTGGTTGTCCTTTCTAGCACTCTCCAGCACTAGGAACCCTCTCCTCCCTTCTTTGAGTAGAATGGAAGGGTCCTCTATCATGTCTGAGGATGCTACCCAGGCCACAAAGATAATAAGAGACGCTCCACTAGGTTCCAAAAGGTGGTACTGCCCACAGAGCAGAGGCCTACGAAGGGAGGAGAGGCTGAGGGGAGGAAGGAGGGACAAAGTGGAGGCAGCTGGAGGGTGGGGCTGGACTTCCCAGACCAGCAAAGGAGTAAAGTCCTGCCCGGTGGCGCTGCTCCAGGGACAGCACCCCCCAGTCCTGCAATGAGGTGAGGACCTCGCCTCACTGGAGTTCATCCTCCTCTCAGTCAGCAAAGGCCATGCCCAGCGGTCAAATCTGCAGAAAACACAGCTGGGGTGGGAGCCCCGCCTAGGGCACCTGGGGCAGCTTCCACAATCTAGAGCCCCAGGGTGGGGCCCAGGGAGCCCTCACTTCCCACCAGCAGGAAGAGCCCACCCTAGGGGGCTGGACAACCTGGGCCACCACAGTGTTAACAGACAGTGATTGATCTGAACTAGGCAGACCCAACAGATGAGGAAACAGACATGAGGAGGGAACCGGAGCTGAGGATGGGGGAGGGTCCTGGGGACAGCAGGCCTGGCTTCGGGGCTGCAGAGGAGGCCTGGATGGGAGGGCTCTCAGTGGGAGTAAGGCCCTCTCCAGGTGTCCCCGTTGTCACCAGACCAGGGATGCCGACGGGAGGCTCCCTGCACGGCTCCCTGAATGTCCCATGCGTGTGTATACACAGGCTGATAAAAGCTAGACGGAGGGTCCAGGCTGGGCCTGAGACTCTGCTTCTCTCATCAGGTCCCAAGGGCCGAGGCCACTTCCAGCATCTGGAGCTTGTGGCTCCCAGCGGCCTCTCCCCTGGGGCCTGCTCCTGCTCCCCCTCTGTCAGTTGCTGGGTCCAGGGAGAAGGTGCCCCAGCCCCACCGGTGCCCACTCCCCAGCGGCTGATAGCCCTCCGCGCCCCCTGCGCCTCCTCCTCCGGGTCCAGTTCGGTCCTGTCCGCCCTTCCCACCTCCCCCTCTGCCCCAACCCCACCTTCAATGCACTCTTCGCCTCCTGGCTCCCGGGAAGACTTCAGAGGGCCTGTCTTTTGGAAGCATAGAGGATCCTCTTGGAAATGGTGCAAGACTGTGCCCAGGCATAGAGGGTCTGCGGGGCGAGCGGAGGTGCGGAGGGGGCCCCAAATTCTGCACTGGCGCGCTGCTCCGTTGGCCACCCTCCCCCAGGGAAGGCCACGCCCCTCAATTCCCCCGGTCCCTGCAAGGGGAAATTACAGCTTCTTTTTTTGGCCACGCCCCAAGGCGGGGTCTTAGTTCCCCACTGAGGGATGGAACCCGCGCCCCTGCATTGGGAGCGCGGAGTCGTAACCACTGGACCGCCAGGGAGTCCTAGAATTTCGTCTTTAACCTGTGAATCTCGCCGAGGCCCTACACCCAGTGAGCCCATGGCAACCAGTCTTATCCATGGAGATTGTTTTAACCGCCCGCCCCCCCCTCCCCCCACCCCCCATTTTGAAGCAAGCCAGTGTGCGCCCTCCTTCTTCCCCAGTGGAAGGCTCGGGGAGTGAAGACCTGACGGCTTAGGGCTCAGTTCGCTGACCTGGCCTGGGGGTGGGCCGGCTGAGAAGCGCACCTGCGCTGAGGTGTGTTCGGGCAACAGCGATCACCCTGGGCCCCTCCTGGTCCTCAGCCGCTGAAAGAGGAGCCAGAGAAGGGCCAGCCTGCCTGGGAGGAAGCTGTCCTGAAACCCCATCCTGACCCCTCTGGCGCCTCCAGGCACAATGACCTTCCCTGGCAGCTGCTGAACAAGTTCAACAATCAGCTTCAGGACCCGAGGGCCAACCTGACCAGCCTGAACGGCACGCACACCAACATCCCCAAGCTGAAGGCTGGCTTTGTGGGGGCCCAGGTAGGGTCCGGCTCTGAGCCCGCCCGCACGCGGAGCCCACCCGCTCCTCCCTTGGCGCCTGTCACTGGTGGCCGCGTACCTCCCTGGGCCCTTCGCGGGGGCTCCGATAGCCACCCAGGCTGTGGGGAGGGCTTCTGGGGCTCGAGGGGAGCCCCAGGCCTGTATGCCTGAGCAGGGGCAGGGCCTGGTTTCCGACCGCTCGGCTCCCAGCCCCTCCCCACCGTGGCCCCCAGTTCTGGTCTGCGTACACGCCCTGCGACACCCAGAACAAGGATTCCGTGAAGCGGACGCTGGAGCAGATTGACGTCATCCAGCGCATGTGCCAGCTCTACCCCGAGACCTTCCTGTGTGTCACGGACAGCGCAGGTGGGTGCCAGCGCCCCCGGGGGGCGGGGGGGGGCGTCCTGAGCAGAGCCGCTGGGCTGTCCATTCACGGTGCAGCCCCCCTCCCCAGGCATCCGGCAGGCCTTTCAGGAGGGGAAGGTGGCCAGTCTGGTTGGCGTGGAGGGCGGCCACTCCATCGACAGCAGCCTGGGTGTCCTGCGGGCGCTCTACCACCTGGGCATGCGCTACCTGACTCTCACCCACAGCTGCAACACGCCCTGGTGAGCAGCCCCGCGTCGGGTCTTGGGGCAGGGACCCTGGGGTACCTGCTGTTCTCTGAAGAGGCCTGAGGTGGGTGGGTCTGGACGACCACGCTTCCCCTCCGGCCTCTGCTCTCTGCTCTCCCAGGGCCGACAACTGGCTGGTGGACACAGGAGAGGATGAAGCCCAGAGTCAAGGCCTCTCATCCTTTGGGCAGGTGAGTGGAGGACGGGGTGATGATGAGCCGCAGAAGGTCATGTGAACACAAGTGGGCACAGTGCAGCCTGCTTGGTCCCAGGGTGTCGTCCATGACCCTCTGGGCTAGACATGTCCCCTGATCCCGTCCCCCCTCAGAGCGTCGTGAAGGAGATGAACCGGCTGGGCGTCATCATTGACTTGGCCCACGTATCCGTGGCCACCATGGAGGCCGCTCTGCAGCTGTCCAAGGCCCCGGTCGTCTTCAGCCACTCCTCGGCCTACAGCGTGTGCCAGCACCATCGCAATGTGCCTGACCACGTGCTGCAGCTGGTGGTGAGGGTGGGGCTGCTGCCTCTGCCCTGGGCTGGCCCTTGCAGCCTGGCTGCCCTGCCCCCAGCTCCACCCTCTCTCCCTTGCAGAAGCAGACGGGCAGCCTGGTGATGGTGAACTTCTACAATGACTATGTTTCCTGCAAAGCGGAGGCCAATTTGTCCCAAGTGGCAGGTAGGTGGTGATGAATGGCCGAGGTGCGGGGGTGGGGGGGATGTCCCTCTTGCAAGGCCTCACGTGCTGCCTCCATGCAGACCACCTGGACTACATCAAGAAGGTTGCAGGAGCTGGAGCCGTGGGCTTTGGTGGGGACTACGATGGCGTGTCCAGGTAAGGCAGGATGCTGCCCATATGTTGTGGGAGTGGAGGAAGGGAGCCCTGAGGGCACCAGGGCTTGGGATGGGGCCCCCAGGGTGCAGACTCTGGCTCTCTGCCCACTTCTCAGGCTCCCCTCCGGGCTGGAGGATGTGTCCAAGTATCCAGACCTGGTCGCTGAGCTGCTCAGGAGACAGTGGACGGAGGCGGAGGTCAGAGGTGCCCTGGCTGAAAACTTGCTGAGGGTCTTCGAGGCCGTGGAGCAGGTGAGGAGGGACTGCCATGCTCCTGCCCCCCACCCCCGACCTTCTCCTGCCCTCAGACAGGCAGCTGACCCGTGTCTGTCCCCAGGTTAGTGATCACAAGCAGGCTCCTGGAGAGGAGCCCATCCCACTGGGCCAGCTGGAGGCTTCCTGCAGGACCAAGTACGGCTACTCAGCGGCCCCCATCCTCCACCTCCAGCCAGGGGCCCTGCTGGCCTCCCTTGTGACCCTCCTCCTCAGCCTGTATCTTCTCTGACACTCTGGGGGCTGGAATGGCCGTGATTCCCTGCCCAGTCCTGGGCAGGCTGCAGGGCTCCTGGGCAGTAGAATACACAGGGACAGCTGGACCCTCAATAAAGGCACCAAGCTTTCAACTCTCATGTCATCGGCAACCATAGCCCTGGAGGGGCCTCTGGCTGGACACCTGGACACACGAGTGCCTGAGTCCTGAAGGTCAGGGCCAGCGGGGTCAGGCTCTCAGAAACCCTGTGTGGATATTGCTGGAGGCTCTTTAATAACAAAATCCAGGCTTCAATTGCCACCTTCTCACACGCACTTGTACAGAGGCACACACACAAACACACATACATGCATGCTCGTGTGTGCACACCTGCACCCCACACCCTCACATCCTCACTCATGCATGCACATATATACTGCCAATGGACTCACACTCATGTGCCCACCCCTTGGGCCAGCCTCTCATGGTATAAAGGTCTGGAGCAGGGAGGCTCCCAGGCCCGCAGGGCCTCCACACACGGTGAGCACAGATCCTACAGCGCAGGGCTTCCCACCCGGGCTCAGCACCTCCCCAGCCCGGTCATTTCGTGGATGTGTCTTGAGATGAATAACTTAGTGGGTGACAGACTCCAGACAAGACCCCCAACATGTCCCTGCTGGTGCTTTTCCAGGCCAGAGCCCCCGAGAACACTGCTACCAACCCGTGCCTGCCAGCCAGCTGGCACCCTCTCAGGGAGGTCTAAAGTCACAAGCTGGGACACTGTGGGTAGTTGCTGACACTTGGGATCAGTTTAATGTTAAAGGAGGAAAAACTCAAGTCGAAGGTTTTTGTTCTGAGTTGGCCAATTATTCCCAACTCACCCAGCTGCTGCCACTGATTTACCTAGCCAGGCTGGAGGAGGCAGGAGGGGACCTTGGTGGGCTGCAGGTGGGCAGGCCTAAATTTGCTAATGGGGAGGGATTTTCCCACAAGAAATGCTTTAAATCCATCTGAAATCAACTTCATCACATTGGAACCACTCCCCGAGGCAATAGATCAAGTGCTGTCCCCAGAATCTGGTTCTGGAAATCCCTCTGCTCGCACCTCATTCACCCTTGGAGTTGCAGCCCCACAGCCTTTCCTGGGGCTCCTGGTAATAGGCTCCATGGAGGCAGGTGCCATGACTGAGCCGGCAGCGTGGAGTCCATTCTGGAGCCCCTAGAGGGCCGTCTCCCTGGGCAGAGCCCATATCAGCCATTCTGCAACTGATCTCAAGTGGCCTCGGCCTGAAGAACAGCTTGAAGAGAGGCTTGGGTTCCCAGTCAGAGGTTGGGCTGGGTTGTGGAGATGAGAGCACCAGATTCTAGCTACTAGACCAGTGGTCAGTGACAAAGGGCTCTGACCCTTCAGCTTCACAGGTTAGAATTTCCACAAAGACAGGAAGTAATGAAACAAGTAAAGTATTTATTAAGAGGAAAAAGAGTACAGTTTGTGTGGATAAGCACAAAAGCGGACTCAGGGAGAGGGGGAGTCCCTGAGTTACATCCTGCTGGCAGTTAGATTTACTTTTATGGGGCATTTCTTCTTGGTTTCCTTTGGGTCATTCTGATTTTCCTGGTTCATGGTCCATGTTTGGTATATCTCAGAATCCTCCCATGAGTGCGTGCCTCTCATAGCCAAAATGGATCCTACTGAAAAGGCTTCTGGGTAGACCATCCTTTGATATGACTCCTCTTTGGCTTCTAAGGAGGCTTTTCTGTACATGTGTGGTCTGGGTGGTTTGAGTAGGGCCCAGCCTCCTCCATTAATTACCCTGCTGTTCTTGTCTTGGAGTTTCCCTCAAGAGAGAATGAATCTCCAATTGCTTTACCCTGCTTGGGGCGGGGGAGGGGGGAGGATGTCCATCTGCCTCCTGCTTCACAACCAGTCAACAAGGAGTCTCAGGCCCGTTCAAACCAAGATGTGCTCGGAGCAGGGACAAGGGGTGGCCCAGAGCCACATGCGGTCACTCTGGTGGGCGGGTGGTTACAAAGGGTAGGGACCTAACTGCGGTTCTGACTCTAGAACCCTGTTATGGGTTCACATGCCCCCCAAACCGATCAAGCTCAGACAGACTGTGAAGCACCGCACTGCCGCGCCCCGCCCCGGAACCGAACCATCGCATCTAAAAGACTGCCCAGAGGACTTGACCGAGAGCACGGCCTTTTGACAATGCACCAGGGGCCCCAGCAGAGTCCCTGCACAAACTCTGTCCACTGGTGGGCAAGAGCGTCTCACAGGGGTGCAGCCAGCTGGGCAGACTAGTTTCTGGAGCACACAGGGGCTGCCCAGAGGTAGCTTTGGGGTACACAGGAGGCTGCCCGGATGGGGTTCCAGTGAGTACAGAGGGGCACACGGACAATATCTGGAGCACACAGCGTCAGGGTGCACCATTCGGGATCTGGGGCACACATGCTATTGTGCCTCACGTTTTCAGGGGCACACAAGGCTGTGCATGGAAGTAGTTTCTGGTCCTCACACAGGGGTGCCTGGAGGCAGTTTCTGGAGCACCGATGGGTTGTTAAAGGAAGGTATTGTCTGGTTCGTACAGAATAATGCCTGGAGGTCATTTCTGATGCACAACGGGGTACAGGAGCATAGTTTATAGTTCGCGGCGGGGTGGGGAGGCGAGCGGGATGGTGCCCGGAAGTCCTTTCTGGTGCACACAGGAACTGCCCTGACGTAGTTTCAGGCACACCGGTTGCTGCCCGCATGTGGTTTCCATGAGTACAGAAGGGCTCAGGGGTACAAAGTTTCTGGAACTCAGAGGGCGTCTGTACACCAATCTGGTTCTGACGCACACACAGTGGCATACTGTAGTGCTTCAACGTGTCCACTGGAGGGCACACCAACATGATTTCTGGTACAAATCTGGGGCCCTACAGATGTAGGTCCCACGGGCACAGTGCCGTCCACAGATGTGGTTTCGGGTGTACACAGGCGTTGCCCGGAAGTAGTTTCTGATACACACAGGAAGTGCCCGGACACAGTTTCTGGAGCACACAGAGGGATCTGATTCCCGCACAGGTATAGTGGCATGCTGTCGTGTCTAACATATCCACAAGAGGGCGCACCAACATGCTTTCGGTACACACGTGGGTGCCCACAGACATAGTTTGTGCGTCCACCGTGGGGGCGAACGGATGTGGTTTCTGGTGCACATAAGGGGTTGCGCAGACGTTTATGAGGCACACAGGAAGTGCCCGGAAGTTATTTATGATACACAGGAAGTGACCGGACGTATACCTGAGCATAGCTTGTAGCATGCTGTCGTGCCTAACGTGTCCACAGGAGGGCGCACTGACATGCTTTTGATGGACGTATGGGTGCCCAAAGACCGGGTTTCTGTGCCTGCAGTGGGAGCGAACTGATGTGGTTTCTGGTGTACATGAGGGGTGCCGCACGTTGTTTCTGATGTACATAGAGCGATGCGGGATTCCAATGCCATGTTGTGCCTAAAATGTCCACAGGAGGGCGCCCACAGACCTGGTTTTTGCGTGAACACTGGGGGTGAATGGATGGGCTTTCAGATGCAGATAAAAGGGTGCCGGAAATGATACGCACAGGAAGTACCAAAATTATATGATACACACAGGAAGTGCCCGGAGATTATTTACGATGGACACAGGAAGTGACCGGACGTTGTTTCTGGAGCACACAGGAAGTGCCTAGATGTATTTTTGTACATATATAGCTGCACTCTCCGGAGAAGGCAATGGCACCCCACTCCGGTACTCTTGCCCGGAAAAACCGATGGACGGAGAAGCCTGGTAGGCTGCAATCCATCGGGTCGCTACGAGTCGGACACGACTGAACGACTTCACTTTCACTTTTCACTTTCACACATTGGACAAGGAAATGGCAACCCACTCCAGTGTTCTTGCGTGGCTAATCCCAGGGACGGGGGAGCCTCGTGGGCTGCCGTCTATGGGGTCACACAGAATCGGACAGGACTGAAGCGACTTAGTAGCGGCACTCTGTTGTGCCTAACGTGTACACAGGAGGGCGAAGGAACACGCTTTTGACACACGCATGGGTCCCCATAGACCTGGTTTCTGTGCCCACAGTGGGGGAGAACGGATGTGGTTTCTAGTCCACATAAGGGAGTTTTCGCACGTTGCTGCTGATGAACAGAGGAAGTGCCCGGCGTTGTTTCTGATGCACCCGAAGTGAGGCAACAATCTGATTGCCGAGCATATATACATTGGAACATTGTCGTGCCTAACGTGTCCACAGGAGGGTGAACCAACATGATCTTGGTTCACAAGTGGGTGTCCACGTCTGGTTTCTGCGTGCAGAGTACAGAGTGAACGGATGTGGTTTCAGGTGAACATAACGGGGTGCCGGGACCATTATTTTTGATTCGCACAGGGAGTGCCAGGCCAGTTGTTTCTGATACACACAGGAAGTGCCCTGACTTCCTGCATTGCTGCCTGTACATATAATGGCGTGCAGTTGAGCCTAACATGTCCATTGGAGGGCGCGCTAACATGCTGTTGATGAGCACATGGGTGCCTACAGACCTGGTGTGTGTGCCTACAGTGGAGGCGAACGGATGTTTCTGGTGCACATAAGGACCGGGGTGCCCAGACGTAGATTCTGAGTCACATAGGAAATGCCCGGATGTAGTTTCTGGAGCACACAGTTCAGTTCAGTTCAGTCGCTGTCGTGTCCTACGCTTCGTGACCCCATGGACTGCAAGACTCCAGGCTTCCCTGCCCATCACCAATTCCTGGAGCCTACTCAAATTCATGTCCATTGCGTCAGTGATGCCATCCGACCATCTCATCCTGTCGTCCCCTTCTCCTCCCTTCTTCAATCTTTCCCAGCATCAGGGTCTTTTCAAATGAGTCAGTTCTTCGCATCCGGCGGCCAAAGTGTTGGAGTTTCAGCTTCAGCATCAGTCCTTCCGATGATTATTCAGGACCGATTTCCTTTCGGATTGACTGGTTGGATCTCATTGCAGTCCAAGGGACTCTCAAGAGTCTTATCCAACGCCACAGTTCAAAGGCATCAATTCTTTGGCACTCAGCTTTCTTTATAGGCCAACTCTCACATCCATACATGACTACTGGAAAAACCATAGCTTTGACTAGATAGACCTTTGTTGGTAAAGTAATGTCTCTGCTTTTAAATATGCTGTCCTGGTTGGTCATAGCTTTTCTTCCAAGGAGCAAGCATCTTTTAATTTCATGGGTGCAGTCACCATTTGCAGTTATTTTGGAGCCCCCCCCCCATAAAGTCTGTCACTGTTTCCATTGTTTCCCCATCTATTTGTCATGAAGTGATGGGACTGGATGCCATGCTCTTACTTCTCTGAATGTTGAGTTTTAAGCCATCTTTTGCACTCTCCTCTTTCACTTTCATCAAGAGACTCTTTAGTTCTTCTTTGCTTTCTGCCATAAGGGTGATGTCATCTGCATATCTGAGGTTATTGATATTTCTCCTATCAATCTTGATTCCAGCTTGTGCTTCATCAAGGCTGGCATTTCGCTTGATGTATTCTGCATATAAGTTAAATAAGCAGGGTGACAATATACAGCCTTTAAGTATTCCTTTCCTGATTTGGAACCAGTCTGTTGTTCCATGTCCTGTTCTAACTGTTGCTTCTTGACCTGCATACAGATTTCTCAGGAGGCAGGTCAGGTGGTCTGGTATTCTCATCTCTTTAAGAACTTCCCACAGTTCGTTGTGATCCACACAAAGGCTTTGGCACACAGAAGTATGCAACAATTTGATTCCTACGCACAAATATAGTGTCATGCTGTCGTGCCTAACCTGTCCATAGGAGGGCGCACCAACATGCTTTCAGTGCACATGTGGGTGCCCAGACCTGGTGTCTGCGCCCACCAGGGCGGCAAACGGATTTGGTTTCAGGTGCACATAAGGGATTCCGAATGTTGTTTCTGATTCACACAGGAAATACCGGGACGTTATTTATGACACATACAGGTAGTGCCCAGACGTTTCTGATGCACACGGGAAGTGCCCAGTAGTTTCTGAAACATACACAGAGTTACAACAATCTGATCTGTGCGTGTACAGTGGCATCCTGTTGTCCCTAATGTGTGCACAGGAGGGAGCACCAACATGCTTTTGTTGCACAGACCGGTGCCCACATACCTGGTTCCTGCGCCCACAATGGGGGCACAAGGATGCGGTTTCTGGTGCACACAAGGGGGTATCCGGATGTAGTTTCTGGTCATACAGGAACTGCCCGGAAGTAGTTTCTGCAGCTCACAGGTGGTGGCCCGGATGCGGTTTCACTGAGTACAGAGGAGCTGACGGATATAGTTTCTGGAGCATACTGAGGGTGGGGTGCACTACTCTGATTCTTGGACATACATAGGGGCATACCGCCGTGCCTCATGTGTTCACGGGGTAGGGAGCGGCGCACCAACATGCTTTCTGGTACACACATGGGGGCCCACAAAGGTGGTCCCCACACCCGCTGTGAGGGTGCACAGATATGGTTTCTGGTGCACAGAAGGGGGCGCCAGGACACAGTTTACGGAGCACCGAAAGGTTGAGGACCGTGTTTTCTGGTTCGAACAGGGTGGTGCCCAGAGGTAGCTTCTGGTGTACACAGCGGGTACAGGAACATAGTTTCTAGTACTGTGCGGGGTGCCCGGGCATAGTTTCTGTAACACACAGGAAATGCCCTGATGGATGTTTATGAATACGGAAGGGGCACGAACATTGTTGCTGGAGCACGTGGGGCTGCGGCAGGGTGGACCAATATGGTTCTGGCACACACGTAGGGGCATGCTCTGGTGCTTCACGTTGTCCATAAGGTGTACACACGGGGGCCCATAGTGGGGGTGCACACAGCAAATGCCTGGGCGCAGTTTCCAGTGCACATAGCACGGTGCCCAGCGGTGACTCCTGTGAGCTCAAGGGTGTAAACACAGTGGCCATCCAGGTCAGAGAAACCAGAGGGCCTGTCCCACACTTGGGGTTGGAGCAGTTTTCTCAGTTGGTTCCTGGGTAATGTAGAGGCCTGAGGTGAGGAAAGCTCGTACATAAAAGTATACTGATGTTGTGCAACAGGTTTGCAATTTTAGTGTTTAAAGTTATTTCAGAGTAAAATCGTAAAGAAACTGGATCCTATCGAGTCGGACTGAGCAGGGTTTGGGAATCTCACTCCTCACACTACCCACACCTGCCTGCTTCAGGAACGCAATAGCCTGTCCTTGGGGCTGGACCACACGCCAAGCACCCACCCCCATCCTCCTCCCCCTTCCTGCCAGCCACTGAAACAAAGATGGAAACGGTTTTCAGAAGTTAATCTTTTTTACTCAGAACAGCATTTCAGGAAAAGGCAAGCTTCACCGGCTGCCTTTTGACAAGGAGTAGCCTCTGTCCCCACTTGTGTGTCCCAGTGGGGCTCAACACCCCCTGGGGACACACTTGGGACCCTCTCGGGACCCCCAGCACATGGGAACCCCAAGGGATGACGAGAGTGTAAGGCGAGGTGGTCATCACAGAAAAAAACCAGACACTCTTTACCCCCTGTCTCTCTGGTCTCACACCATTATCTTACTGTACAGAACACCTGTGGCTTTCAAGTCCTGGAGGAATGAAATGCAGTGAGCCTTGGGAAAGCTCTCCCACATTTCTGTCCAGAAGAGCCATCGCTGTGAGGACAGTTGGTCTGAGGCCTCTAGTCAGCACCGACCACCAGTGCTCTCCAGCTGACGCTTCCTGTCTACTGTTCCTTCTCTTTTGGCAAAAACAAAAACAAAAAACCCTGGGAGCCTCAGGAAAATGAAGTAAACTTTAGGAACTGAAGAAAACAGAAACGTGCAGCCTGTCTGAAGCTCCTCTCAGGCTCCCGCATGTCATCTGAACCAGTGCTGCCACAGGCCCCACTGTGTCTCTCCTATCTGTCACTCCAGCTTCAGTCAATGGCGTGGGCCTACCATGCAGCAAGAGCCAGTCAGGGGAGGCACCCTGTTACTACAATTACGGGAAAAACGTCCCCCCAGGAGGGGAAGAGCCTGAGCCCATCCAGCAGCAGGACCAGGTTCCAGCTGGAGCAGGGAGCCTGGGGGTCGGGGGAAGCTGGGAACAGGGAGCCGCCCTGACCCCGGCTGGCTGACTGCTCCCCATGAGTCTGCCATCATGGAGTCTAAAGGCCCCCATATCCACGTGGAGACCACTGGCCAGTCCCTGTGAATTTCTTAGCGGGTGGTGGATGGAGGGAGCCTGCAGACTGCCCAGCTGGTTGGCCCAGAGTCACAGAAATCACCCACAGAAGTCAGAAGTTTGTGCAAACTCACCCTGCAGGGCACAGACCCACGCCCACACTCAGACAAGAGGAAGAGTCCCAGGGCTGGCAGGTGAGAGGCTGAGAGCAGCAGGGGCCAGTGCTGCCGCAGGCTGTAGGCTCGCTCGGCAGAAAGGCCAGATCCGAGGGAGGGGGTGGAGGCGGCCTTCCCAGTCTTTCCCCAGGCCAGGAAGGGGCGCTGGGGCGGGCTCTGCTAATTCCTCAGGGCGGCCAACCTGCAAACCACAAGAGGACCCTCTGAAGCCCCGCAACAGCTCCCTCACCTCTTCCAGGCTGTCCTAGTTGCCTTCCTCCCCTCCTACGGTGAGCTGCCTGACACCCCCCACCGTCATTGCAGACACAGGGGGCCGAGTTTCTGCACCCCTCCCACCGCCCCACCCACCTCCGGGACAGCTGGTCCTCCTGACTGCGCACGGAGCTCTCGCCCACAGCAGAGGCACCCTCGGGCAGCTGGCTGAGCTGGTCCAGCACCTCCAGGCCGTTCTCCTCTGCGATCTGCAGGATGAGGCTGTCCACCTGCTCCTGTGGCGTGGTCAGCGTGGTGGCCGAGCTCATGGAGTCTTCCATCACCTGGGGGTGGAGTGCTGGGCAGTCAGGGCGCCCCGGGACCCCCTCTGTCCCTCCAGCCCCTTCTGGCGCTCTCCCCAGCGCACACTCTCCAGAGTGCTGCGCCTGGGGCACAGCTGCCCGCAGGGCACCCACCCCAGCCCCGAGCCCCCTCTCCCCTGCTGGACCTCTGTGGGCTGGTCTGGACTCCACACAAGGAACCAGGCTCCCAGGGGGTGACTGCCTCAGGTGGAGGGAGGGAGCAGACGCGGCCATCACCGGCACACCTGGGCTTACGTACCGACGTGTGTACATCCAGGTTCTGCACCTGCTGCTCGAATCTGTCCATCACCGCAGAGACTTTCTGCAGGTCCATGGTGCTGAGTGCCCGGTCCAGGGCTTTGGTCACCTGTGCCATGTTCTTGGTCACCTGGCAGAGGCAGGAATGAGGAGGTGGGCAGGGCCCTCAGGCCCCATGGGTCCCTGCATGGCACATCCCCAGACAATGGTGTCAATGGAAGAACGGACAGGAGACCCAGGCTGTGGACACTTAAGAGCCTTCGGGGTGTGTCTGGCACCTGCCTGACTCTAGAGAGGGAATCCCGGGGTGACCCCTGTCCCAGTTGCACCCTCAACTCTGCCAGCTGGAGCCAGCCATGGCCGCTGGCCAAGCACTCACCCCCTTCATGGTCACAGCTGTCTGCACCTTAGAGGCCACGGCATCCACGCGGGACGCCATGCGGAGCCAGTTCACACCTTCATTCTTTTTGCGGATGGCGTTCTCAGCATACACACGTGCACACTCTACATTCTTCTGCTGAAGGGCCTGAAATTCAGGAGGAAGATGCCAGCTGGGGTCCCGTCCTGGGGCTCTGTCTGCTGGGGGGGTGGGGGGTGGCCCCTTTTCAGCCTTTCCCCAGGCGTTCTCCCCAGAAATGTCTTAGGAGTGAGGGTGTCTAGGACCAGGGCCGCAACCGGCCCCCAAAGAGGATCAGACAAAAGAAAGCCAAGCCCAAAGACCATGGCCGCCTTTCCAGGTGTCCTCTCCACTGCTGTGCCCAGCCCCCTCAGCTCCTCCTGGGTCACACATAGCATCTGTCCACCTGGAAGCAGAGCTGGAAAGGCCAGCGTGGCCAGTGCTGACCCTCTGGGGGACAAGGCTTCAGACCGCACGGTCGGCTGCATTCCCTTTCTTCCCCAGGGCACCAGGTCACTCAGACCAGCCAACAGCCCAGGAGCTACTGCAGCCACTCAACAGCTGTAACCAGTGGCTGTAAGCAAGTCCCCCAAGAGCGGGGGCGACCCCAGGAGCCTCCAGTCTCGCCCCACCCCACGGAGGGTCAGAGCACAGGACCAACAGGACGGCCTGGCCGCGTCAGGGCCCACACTCACCTTCTTCACCTTGGCCTGCTCTGACTTGGAGTCCTTCTCCGCCTTCTTGGCCAGCTTCTCCAGCTGCTTCGCCGTGAACTAAGGTAAGGAGGCCGGGTCACCGCAGCAGCCTGCACGGCCCACTCCCCGCCCTCCTGGGCCTCAAGTCCACCCGAGGGACTGCCGTCTCTGCTGGACAATCCGCTCCCCTCCCAGCATCCTGTCCGTGAGCTGTGCCTGCAACTGCCTTCCCTCCACACGCAGGCTGGCTGCTGGGACCTGGGCCCCACCTTCCAGCCTGTTCCATAGAACAGCAGCTGGGGGCCTGCTGAGAAACTGTCCACAGGTCTCACCAGCGTAAACCCCTCCCTCTCTGACCTCCTCTTGCCGCCTGGCTATGAAGCAAACAGGTGAATGCCTTGAAAGTCCGGGCCTCAGGCCGACATGTGCCCGGCTCCTGTGGTCTGGCCCATATAGGTCACCAGCTCCCTAACTGCAGGCTCATGGCCACAGGGCGCTCTCTCCAAAATCAACCCCCTTCCTGGTCATCAAACTCAATCTTGAGAGGCCTTCAAATCAACATCTGCATCGCCTGACCCTTGGACCATTCTCTCTTCCTGCACTGTCCAGTCCAGTAGGCACTAGACCCAAGTGGCTATTTAAGTTTAAATTACTTAAAATTATGTACAATTGAAAAATCAGTTCCTCGGTCCTGGGAGCCCCACTCTAGGTGCCCAGCTCGGCTGGCGTCAGGTGTTGCTGTGCACAGCTAGGCGGGCCGGCGCCGCCCTTCTCCTGTCCCACCCACCAGGGCCCCTCGCGTCAGCGGCTCCGCGGCCTCCAGTCCTCTGCCTGCTGTATCCAGCCGTGCCCGGCCCCGACCCACCCCGTGCACAGCCTGAAGTACACACCGGGCCACCATCTACTGCTGCTAAACAAGGTCCATTCCTCTGGCCAGGTGCCCTGGGACCCACCAGTGAGCTCCAACATGGAGCCCCTGGCGTGGCCTCACACACCTCAGCCCTGGTCAGAGCGGCCACCAGGCCTCTGCTGACTAGAAGCTGCAGGGAGAAGGCCCAGATGAGCCAGAGGAACAAGTGGCCTCCCAGAGGCCAGCAGTGTTCTCTCAGCCAGAGTCACTCGGGATGTCCTGTTGGAGAGAAAAGGTTTCTTGTGTGTCTACCTCCCGCCCTCCGTTCCTCGAGGAAGAGTCCGGGTTGTCCTGAGCTGGGAATCTGGTCTGGAGGCCCCAGGGCTGAGCCGGTGCAGCTGCTACAGTCGGGACTGGACAGCCTCACTCCCTTGTCCTTCAGAGCCCGCGCGGGTGTTCCCTCTGAGGGACTAAGGAACTCTGACAGAGCCTGCCAACATCGCAGGCAGCAGGGACACTCGCCGCCAGAAAGAATGCTGTCCCATGTGTGACTCTGAAGGACATGAGGCCACCATTTTAAACACCACATGGAACGTCTACGGGATGTACACACAGTCACCCTCACAGACGAGTCCAAGTGACCCACTTCCGCTCAGCCCAAGAAAAGCCAGCAAGGCGTGTCCCTGACCCCTCGGTCATCAGTCTGGTTGAGCACTGTCCCAAGTGTGACTCGCACCATCTGTCCCCACTGACAACCACCAGGATAGGGTCAGGGTGAAAGGCTGATCAGTACATACCTTCAGCTGGAACAGGGTGTCTGCAAAGAGATGATTAAAAGACGGTGAGCAATGTGACAAGCAGCACTCCTAGTCAGCTGATGGGGTCACTACCTCCCCTGAATGTGAAGAGCTGGCATAGAACTGGGGCCTGAAAGGAGGCCCACTCACACCAGCTTGGCACCTCCTTAGCCACAAAGCTCGGGCAATGAGAGAGTTACCCTGACCCCCTGACACCTCTAGGAAACACCTGGACAGCACCAGCTGACCTTAAGAGTATGAGCGCAGCCCACAGTGAAAACTCAGTATGGTCTGTAATCAGTACAGCTTTACAAAGGACCCTTGGGAGTTCTCCCCAATCTAGTAAGGTTTACTATTTGTTGTTCAGTTGTTAAGTCTTGTCTGACTCTCTGCAACTCCATGGACTGCAGCACGCCGGGTTTCCCTGTCTTTCACTATCTCCTGGAGTTTGCTCAACCTCATGACCATTGAGTTGGCAGCACTATTTAACCATCTCATCCTCTGCCACCCCATCTCCTTTTGCCCTCGATCTTTCCCAGCCTCAGGATCTTTTCCAGTGAGTTAGCTCTTCACATCAGGTGGCCAGAGTATTGGAGCTTCAGCTTTAGCATCAGTCCTTCCAATGAATATTCAGGGTTGATTTCCTTTAGGATTGACTGGTTTGATCTTGCAGTCCAAGGGACCCTCAAGAGTTCTCCAGCACCACAGTTCAAAATCATCTTCAGTGCTCAGCCTTCTTTATGGTCCAACTCTCACATCTGTACATAACTACTAGAAAAACCATAGCTTTGACTAGAAGGACCTTTGTTGGCAAAGTGATGTCTCTACTTCTTAATCTGCTGTCTAAGTTTGTCATAGCTTTTCTTCCAAGGAGCAAGTGTCTTAATTCTGTGGCTGCAGTCACCATCTGCAGTGATTTTGGAGCCCAAGAAAACAGTACTTGACAGTCTGTTTTTCATGGATAAAAACAGTTGGGTGGAAAAAAAAAAAAAACAGTTGGGTGATGATTCTTAAGTTGTAAAAGAGCTGGCCCACAGAGACCACGCTCCATGGGAGCTGCCATTTCTGAGCCATCAAATCTGCAATGGCCAACTGGAGACATGCATGTGCGCATGTGTTAATGGCGAAGTCCCTTGGTATCTGAATTTGCCACTCACCCAAACTCAAGAGCTAGGTAGTTTGGGGTTCATCTTAAATCTATCTCAGTGTATCCCATTCCTAAATTTGGGAAATGATTCTTGAAACTGTTTATCACACTAGCCCAGAATGAAGAAACAAAACCCTGGAACCAGAATCCAGATCCATAAAGGCGGGTGAAGGCTCCCAGCTGAGAGCTCCCCTGGGCCCTGTGCATCTGTCACCCATGAGCGCAGGCCCTGGGCAAAGCCAGGTTGTCTGTGCATCTAGAGCAGGTGGGAGGCAGTGTGCTTACTGCGGGGGAGAGCAAGGCTGTGCTGGGTGTGGCCCAGACTTGGGTGGGAGGGACAAACTCCACAGGGCAAAACCTGGCCCTGGAGGAAAGGGATATGGGAAAACAGAATTCCCTGGGGAACTTAAGCTGAGTGTGAGGGGCAAAACCCAACTGTGTGTGCGCTGGGCGTTGGGGTGGGGTGCATTCATCTTCTCTCTGAGGCAATTTGTATAGAATTTCCTTCTCCACAATGACATTCCATCTCTCTGTCACACCAACAATGAAACAATCTAGCAAATGTACCTGTCTTCATTTTATCACCGATGCTTCCTGTTCCTAGGCAGGGCAGGGCAGAGAGCCCTGAGGTGGTACTGCTGGCTGTGGAAGACCAGATGGACGACCAAGCCACCTGGGGCCTGCGCCTGCACGGACTCCCTTCCAGCCTGTTTTCCCATCTGCGGAATGGGATCATACGGTTCCTACCTCAAGAACTTCTGTGCCTGTACCTAATGAGGATTTTTTACCTTAGCTCTTATTTCTCTTGGTAGTGTTCTGGGGGCACTGGTACAACTGCCTCCTTTTCGGGTGCCCTCTGACCCGGAATCCCAGGGCCCAAATCCCTGATGTCCCTCACCAGTACCGCAGCTTGGCAAGCGGGGGCGGGGGGCGGGGGCAGGAGCAGCCGGTCGCTGAGGAGAGCCGGGGAAGCGGGAGGGGATCAGAGAAGAGGCTCTGGTATCGGAGTTCTGGGTCGAGGTCCCGGGTTATGGGGTCGGGGACTGGGGTCCCGGGTTATGGGGTCGGGGACTGGGGTCCCGGGTTCAGGCCCCGGAGTCCGGGATCGGGTTTCAGGGTCTGGGATCGAGGCCAGGGGCCCCCGCCTAAGCCCCGCCCGCGGGAAAGGCGACCCCGCCCCATGCAGCCCCGGAGGGCGGCGGCCTCTCACCGTCCATGGCTGGTCCGGCAGCGGCAGGCCTGGGAAAGGCAGACCCACAGGATCTTCCAGCGGCGTCAACAGAACCAACCGGGGCTGGCGAGCCGACCGGAGGGCGGGAGGGCACTTCCGGGTCTCACCTATTTCCGGTGGCGGGGCGCTCTCGCGAGAGGACTGACTGGTCCCGCGGGCGGTGGTGTTGCCGTGGTGACCGCGCGGGCTTGGGTGGTGGCTGTCGGGCGTCTGTGAGTCAGTGGGCAGGGCGCCCACTGTGGTGCAGGGGCTGGGACTGACGCTGGTGGGGGCCTGGGGCGGTGGGCTCACCTATGGGCCTTTCCAAAAGCAAACGCAAACTGGGGAAAGGTAAAGGGCCGGTGGCCCGTGGTCTTCCCGGCGCGGCACCGCCCCCGTAAATCTTCCAGCGCCGAGTCCTCTCTGAGGACGGTGCCTCGGGGACCTTTTCATCCGGGGAAGTATCCACATGTAGGGAAATGGAGTGCCGCAAGACTTTCAAGCTATTTTATTTCATTCTGACCAGAGCAGGCAACTGAAGGATGGGGTCCATTGCCCAGAATCAGTAAAATAGGTCCAGTTAATGCACATGTATTTTCAGATGATGAGTCGAAGACCCGGCGCACTTACATAGTCCCAAAGGCTGAGGAAAGGCGGGTGGACAGACCTTCACAAGAGTCCAAGAAGCCTCCAGACACCAAGCTTGCGGAGAGCTTCCGTGAGGAGAAAGGGGCACTAAGCGGCAGTGGCCTTCATCTGAATGGGGAGGTAGGACACTCCGGAACCAGACGTGTATTTGAGGATGGGGCACACAGGAGCCTGCGGTGGAGTGCTAGTAGCAGGGTCGTGCCTTGATGATGGAGAAGGTTTGGGGACCTTTATCTAGTAGGTAAATATGAGAGTTCTGGTGGAAAATGTAATAAGTTTACATTTAAGTTAAATGTAATTGGTTTTAAGTTCCCAAGTGGTAGCTGCATAACACACATCAAGGAGGGCCAAGCCATGTGCAGACCCAAAGCAGCCTGCACCCCTCCCAAGGGCACACCTTTGGCCCCACTGCCACTCCCTCCGCATTCCACAGACTGGAGCCTGAGCAGCTACCTTGGCGCGGGATTGAGGGGGAGGTGTGGGCCCGTGGCAGAGTAGGAAGTAGTGGGGCTGTGGCAGGGGGAATTGCTGTCTGACAGGATGTGGGTGCAAAGAGAGGAACTAGGGTGGTGGGCTTTGGTGACCATAAGAATAGACGGCCGGTGCATCAGACAAAGACAGGAGGAGAGAGAAGCTGGGCATGGAGCTTCACACTGAGGTCCCTTTGGGGTCATCAAAGGCAGGAAACTGTTTGAGAGGAGCACGCTGGCCATGGGAGCGAGGCCTGGACTTCAAGTTCCAATTCATAAGCTCTAATTTAAGGCAGGAAGGGCCAGAGTCCTAGGGGAGGTTTGGAAAATTGCTGCCAGTCTGTCAGGAAGCTTTTGGCCGCCAGTCACAGAAGAGCTTTACTCCTGAGGGGCTCAGTGTCTTCCAAGTAAGGGAGAGGTCAGAGGCCGGGCCCTGGGCGTGGCAGCATCCAGGACTGTGTGTTCACACTTGGCCACCCTCAGTGTCCATGGTCCGCAGAGGGCTGGACAGGTTTCAGTGGCACGCACACAGACTATGTCTCGTTTGTGAGAGGCGTTACCTTGCTTTGTATTAGCAGGGGAACTGTCCCCCAGAGGCCTGAGTGCCCAGCTCTCCAGGATGGGCTGGACCTGTGCCTGCAAACAAAGGTGTGGCCATGTGTGTCACACCCTCACTTCGGGGGCAGAATGAGGATGGACTTCCCAGAAAGCAGGTGAAGAGTGCTGTCACATGGCACATGCCCCTGGCACACGCTGTTCTGGGAAGCACGCCCCAGAGCAGATAGGAGTGAAAGAAGCCAGGCACAGGTCCTGCTCTGCTTACAAGAAAAGTCCGGGAAAGCCAACTCCATATGGAAGGAGCCTGGGCCACGGGTGGGCACAAGGGCTCTTCGGAGAAGGATGGAAATAGACTTAAAAACTCAGTCAATGGGTGCCCAACTTTGAAAGTTTACTAAATTCCATTGAATTGTATGCTTTACACAGGTAAGTTTCATGGTTTTTAAATTATACTGAATCAAGTTGTTAGGAAAGGAGAACTTGTTGGCAGTGTTGACTGCTGCAGAGAGGTGGAGTAAACCCAGGGAACACTAGTGAATGAGACCAGCCACTGGACTTGGTGGCCTTGGTGGGAACCAGGAGTGAGGACAGATACCTGCTTTGCCAGGAGGACCACCTCGAGAAGGGCAGGGGCACCTCCTCATTCACATTTTTTTTTTTAAATAACAGTTTTTATTTATTCATTCATTTGACTGCTCTGGGTCTTAGTTGTGGCATGTGAGATTTTTAGTTGTAGCATATGGGATCTAGTTCCCTGACCAGGGATGGAACCTGGGCCTCTGCCTTGGGAGCGCAGAGTATTAGCCACTGGACCACTAGTGAAGTCCCAACATTCGAGTTTTAAAGCTGAGGAATTTCCCTATTATATTTGAAAAAACTGAAAGTTAACCTAATACCATAAAAGCTTTAGAGAAATGAGTTCAACAAATAAAAAATTCTGTGTATTATACAATTAATAAAAGTGGGCTTTACTACTGTTGAATGATTGTTGGGCTAGGGTCAGGGGAGGTGCGCTGACTGGAACAGGACCCGTGGGAGCTCTGTGGGATGGTGGAAAGTTCTGCATCGTGTTTGGATGTGGGAAACTGCAGCTGATCACTTAAGAACTCTGTGTTGTGTCGGGTGAAGTATGCTGCAGAAAACATGAAATGGAATACACATGAGTCCTTGTCTCTTAGAGCTGCACCCCCAATATTCTGAGCGTAAATGGATGTGCTGGATTGCCAGGATTGCATGTGTTTTCACAGGTGCTGCTTCCCTCCCTCCCCACAGGTTCTGTGATGTGATCTCATTGCTTCTCCCACCTGGGGGGTCTCCATCCTCTCTCTAAACCTCTGCGTGTCTGACATTGTCTTGTAACCAGTAGAACGGCTGAAGTGACTTCCAGGCGGTGGGTGGTGAAGGGTGGCAGGGTCTGGCAGGCTTACCTGGGTGCTGGCTGTGCTGCGCCAGCCGCTGGGGAGGCCATAGGGAAGCAGCAGTCGCATAGCCCGTCCCACCCAGGTGCTGGACATGTAAGTGACAAGCCTACAGCGATTGCAGCTGAGCTGCCGCATAGCACCTAGCAGCCTGGCGAGTGGGTGTCCGCCATGGTCAGTCCAGTCGAGCCTTCAGATGGCATTTGATTGTAGCCCCTCAGAAACCACAGTGATAACTGTCCAGCTGAGCCTTTGCTGAATTCCTGACCCATAAAATGGTGAGAAAGTGGTTATTTCCAGCTGCTGAGGTCAGGCTGAGTTGCTTCCCAGCAGTGTAGTAAGCAGAACACAGGTAAGTAAGTGCTGCGGTGGAGACCAGGTGTGACCAGGGTCTGCAGTTGTGGCAGCTGGTGATGCAGATGTATTGTACTGCACTTGCTTCTTGCTGCTTCTGTCCATACTTCAGATTTTGCATTAAAAACCCACAAACGTACATTATAGAGACTAAGGCACCACAAGTTGGCAGTCAGCCAGTTCCAAACTGCTGCAAAATCTTCTGGGGAAAAAAAAAAAAACACAAAACCCCAACTTTTCTACAAATAAATGACTTGAGGAAAAGTTGTTGTCTTATAGGTCTGATCAGCTGGCCATCACAAACACCATGGGGTGGGGACTTGCTTGGTGATCCAGTGGTTAAGAGTCCACACTTCACTGCACGCGGAGTTTGATCCCTTCTCAGGGAACTAAGATGCCACATGCCCAGGGGAAAAAAGCAAATCCTATGGGCTTTGTTTAAACCATAGACCTCATTTCTCATCATACTGGAGTCTGGGGAGACCCCCTATATCTGGCTGTGTTCCTATGAGGATCCCAGACAGCTATCTGATGGCTGTGTCCTCACGCGGCTAGAGGAAGAAGGTTGTGGTCCCCTCCTCCTCCTAATTCCTTCCTGAGGGCTCCACTTTCATGACCTCATTTAACCCTAATTCCCAAAGGCCCCACTTCCAAATACCATCACATCAAGAATCAGGCCTTCAACATATCATTTGAGGGGGAGGGGGATACCGACTTTCAGTCCACAGCAGTTACTAGGAAATTTGAGAGACGTATGAACAAAAAGCAGTGTTTGGATCCGGGCTAAGTTATTCTTGAGATAATCAAACTGGGTATTAGATGATAATAAAAAGTCAATGATAATATCCTTAGATGTGACAGTGCCACTGTGATTATGCTAAAAAAAAATCCTCATCTGATAGAAATACTGTATTATCAACTATTTTAAAAATGTGAAAAACAAGTTTCCAAAGATTTACATGCTGCATGATTTTATTTATGTAACATTCTCCAATGATAAAATGATAGTGATGGGGACAGACTAGGGACTGCCAGGGGTTGGGGGCAGTAGGGCATGACTGAGGTGTGGCAGGAAGACAGGCCTTGTCTTGTGTCTGGATCTGGTAGCGGTTACAGGTGAGAACATGGCTCAGAACACTCAGTGCACTGCAGTCAGCCCTGTTCTACTGTCATCACCTGAGGTGAGTCACCCGAGGAGATGCCACTGAGGGCGGTTGACAAGGGTGCAGGGAGCTCTCTGGGCTACTCGTGCAGCTTTCTGTAAATTGATAATGTCAAAGTAAAACATTTTAAAAGACATCAAAAGTTACAATAATTAAAATAACATGGCTTTCACATAAGAAGAGCAGGTCAGTGAAATGGGAAACACGGACAAGGGTGACTATACGTATCGATATCACTATGTCTATATATAATCAGAGTATGATAAAGCTGGCACCAAAATCAGGTGGGAAAGGAAGGCTTGTATGATAAACTGTGCTAGGAAGATTCCTTAACATTTTAAGAGAAAATGTAAGGTGGACTGTAACCTCCTGCTGTATGCTCTGATAAATTCCAGATAGGTTGGGTGAATATAAAAAGTGACTACCTGTACATCAATTCTACTTAAAATTTTTAAAAGGTAGACTGACTATAAACTGATATAGGCAACTCAAAGGGGAACGGAGAAGAACAACTAGTACCATCTTCCAGATGATAGTGTGCGGTCATCTAAAAAAAAATTTCCTTGCTGGAAAAAAAAATAAGGTGACTACAAAAAATAAGATGTACATTTTATTCTGATTCCTCAATTGGGAACATCTTTCTAAACCTCAGAGCAAAGACATTACTGATAATATTGAAGGATTTGACTACATTCAAAAGTAAAACCTCTCTCCAGCCCTCTATAAACAAATGTAGAACAAATAATGGTAAGCTCAAAAAATATTTACAACAGAAACAAGAGGTCAAAGAATAACACATGATAGGTCCAGAGCCCAGACGTGTTGTGAGTGGAAATCAGACTGAAGGCATCTGGTAACGTGGGAGGTGGGGTTCAGAGGCCCCAGATCACAGTTCTGTGAACAAGGCTGTAGGAGCCTCTGCCCTTATGTGTGGTCATCCCTGTGACCATGGGGGATGGCGGAGGCTTCCGGGATCAGGTTAATAACCTTTGGTATTGACTTAACCCAAATGGAGCTTTTCTGGAGCATGCCTGAGCTCATCAGAGAAGCCTTTGAAAAAGGTGAAAGCATCAGAGAGGTGGCTGTGAAGCACACAGCTCCTGTGGTTTGAGAGTCGCCAGCCAGCAGGGAGACAGTGCTTTGTGCTTGGCCTACAAACAAACGAATTCTGCCTACAACCTGAGTGGCTGTGGAAGGTCTCCAGGTTCAGATGAGGACACGACTAGGCTGACAGCTGAACCATAGGCTGGACTCCTGACCCAGTGGAGCCCGTGGTGATGTGTGTGCTCTTTTACATTGGCCACTAAAATGTAACTTGCAGGTAGTAACTGAAAAATAGTACAGGTTGTGTGCATTAATAACTTTAAAAAGATTCGTGTTTCTAAATGAATAAGCTTTAAAATGCTGAGGAAGACGCAAGGAGTCTTGTTTTGGGTTAGAAACCTCAGCAGCGTAATGGTGTTAATTCTCTCTTATTCTAGCAAGTCATTGTGACATAAGCAAAAGAGCACAGGTCATTTTGAGAACAGAACCAAATGACCCCAAAGTTCATGAGAAGGAGTAACAGTGTAGGGCTGGCAGGGGGCATTTGGAAAAGTGGATAGAACAGATAGAACCCTCTGACGTGTGAACGTGTCCCACAGTGATGAACTCACAGTGATGAACACAGTGTCCATTGTGCTCCAGTGGGGCCCCAAGAGGTGCTGTGGTAAAGATGGTGGTGGTGGTGGTGGCGGGCGGAGATAGGTAATCTCACTAGACAGCTGAGAAAACAAGTATAAAATAAGTATGAAAAAGAAACGAGTGAATGTCTTTACAAGTTTGGAGCCAGGGGGTGCCTTTCCCAGTCTGACAAACTCTACAAGCCATTAAGGAACAGATGGATGAATCTGTTGCAGAAGGAAGCTATAATAAACAGCCAGGAGCTATCTGTAACATATTTAATAAATCCCTAATGGCGAGTTTCCCAAATATAAAAAAAGCTCACACACAAAAAAAGGTAAAAGTAGAAAATGCAGAATGACATTCATTCACAGGAAGACAGAGGGGAGGCCCATGATCAAGTGAAGAGATGCCCAGCCTCCCTGCGTGGGCTGGAGGGGAAGCTCAGGGCAGCTGGCTGGTGACCAGTGGGGGAGGAGTCAGCACTTCCACTGTCACTGTAGTCTTGGAAAAGGTTTGGAAAAACGAAAGAAGCAGGAGCATGTGGAGAAATGTCCCTGGTGATAATCTCTTAGTGAAAATACAAATTAATATAACCTTTACGGAAAGCAATTTGACAATGTTTGCCAACATTTTCCTAGTAACTTACCTGACAGGTAAACCTCCAAAAGTTTCTAAGTACATAAATGCAAGAATGGTCATTGCAGCATAGTTTAAACAGGCAAACTGGAACTAAGCTAAGTTATATTCATCAAAGGGAGCTGTTATAGCATGATGGCCCCCACAGTGAACTCCAGGCTTGCCTGTGCTCAGCCGGGGAGGGTGTGGTCACTACAAGACTCAGTGTGTGGTTCCAGCAGCAAGTGTGTGTGAAGTGTCTGCAAGAAGCAGCATTTCATATGTAGCTTTTAACCAATGTGGATTATTTTTAAGTGAAATGTCTTTTAAGTAAATATTTTTAAGTAGTCTTAATATACAACATAGCTCAGTTGGTAAAGAATCTGCCTGCAGTGCAAGGCAAATTCAATTCCTGGGTTGGGAAGATCCCCTGGAAAAGGAAATGGCAACCCACTCCAGTATTCTTGCCTGGAGAATCTCATGGACAGAGGAGCCTGGTGGGCTACAGTCCATGGCATTGCAAGAGTTGGACACGACTTAGCAACTAAACCACAATATGTAAAGCTTGTGTAAATCGATATGAAGAAATGATCTTAATTTTAATTCAAAATACGATGAAATGCACATTGACTTGTGATAAAAAGAAGAAAGGATGCTCTTGAGCCGAGTGCAGGCATGGGCCCCTAGGCTGTGGTTAGAAGCATGGAAGCTGTGCATGTGGCACTGGATGTCAGGGCGGTAGCATCTTCCTTGGCTGCCAGCCCTGGGCAGGTGACAGCACTGCTCTGTGCCTCAGTTCCTTTTGTAAAACCTAGGTGTTAAAAGGACCCACCTCAGAAACGTGTGGGTCTCTACTCCAGGGCTCAGGGCAATGTCTGGCACAGAATGGACTGCTGCTGCTCCTCCGGGTGGCTGAGTTCCTGAGGTGTTAAGTGAGGAAAAAGCAGGTGACGATGTTCTGTTCAGGACATGTGTGCACACGGGACACAAAGACCTCTTTGTAGGGCTGAACAGAGGCCCAAGTGGAGGAGCCCCAAACTGGTGACCTCCAGGAAGCAAGCCAGGAGGTGAACGGTGGAAGCAGTAAGGAGCTTCTGCATTTAAGCTTGTAGCATTTGGTAGTGGTTCACATGCCCTGTGCATTCCTGGAGATTGTAAGGAGCTTGAGGAAACACTGTGGCCCCCAGCTCTATAGCACGCCCACTGATGTTGTTCTGTACAGAGAGCTTCCACTTTGTTTAGAATCCTGTGGAAACTGTGTCTGAACACTCACCTGTGGGGCCGACCCTGCCTCTTCCAGGTATCTCTCCTGCATCCGTCTCTGGGCTGCCCCATAGCTCAGGCTCTCCACAGGATGGTGGGGGTGCCTCTCCTGTTCTCCTATGGAGGGGACGCCTCCAGGATTCACAACCTGCGTGTCTGAGTTGTTGTTTGGTTTAAACTTTGGAATGTTCACCTAGGGTTCTGACTGCTTTCAACCTCGCTCATTTCTTTTCCTGAGCCACAAACCTAATTGTTTTGCTCTGGCCCTACACAGACGTCGTCCGTTTTAGTTTTTTTTTCCCCCCACAGACTTATGAAATGCTTGGATGTTTTCTTCCTTCTAGAGAAACCTGATGTAAATCCAGAAAAGAAGAAGTTTGCCATCCCACAGATCATCACCACCACACCCTCAAAAGAGACTGTGATCAGCTATGGCTCCATGGGCATGCAGGAGCAGAGAACCATTCGGGAACGGGCTGAGCAGGGCCCCTACTCCCGACACAGAAACCCCAGCACAGTAGACGCCTATAGCATACAGGCCACAGAATAAACAGGCACCCCAGCAGCCGTGGCCCCTCCCTGTGCAGTGTCTCGGTGGTGATGACAGAAGGGCCACCCCATCCTGTGGAGACCTGCAGGTACCCCTTCAGTCAGCAAGGTTCCCCCCACCTCTTCAAGACTGGCAGGCAGCTTGGCAGAGGGCAAGAGCGACTCTGGCTCCGAGAGTGAATGTGGGGTGATCATGAGATTAGCCCTGCTGGAACTGGCTGGCTGAACATCTCGATGGAGAGGTAGCAGGCAGCATCTCTTGCAGTTCTGAACTGCATGCATCCTGTTCAGGACCAAAGGGGCCTGGCACAAGCACCCAGCAGTGGGAGTGAAGGAGCTGTACCCACCCCTGAACCAAAGGTGGGACTCTGAGGTGTCAGGACCCAGAACAGAGAAGGGCTCTTAGCTTGAGTACCACGTGATGCAGAGAATGTGGACGCAGCCCCAGCACTTGGAATGCTGGCTCTGTCAGAGCCACCCCGGAGTGAAGGTGAGTTGAGCTGACAACTTCCCCTCTTTCTGGCTGTGTTTGAGGGCTTTCAGTGGGGAGGGGCCATTTGGGGACTCACAGCCTCAGATGTCCCATCCTCATCAGCAGCCCTCAGGTCAGAGTTCACTCTTCTCCGGGTTGGCTGGAGAGTGTCCTGCCCTGTCTGAGCTCACATGTTTAGTCTGGTGACAGTGTGTGTCAGCTTTCTTCATTCCTGGAATGATCAGCAGGCTGCATATAGGGGGTCTCTGTCTTTGTCTGTTGAGGAGGATCATATCTTTTTAGTGGTAAATAGTTCAAGTGACTTCCAGTCAATGAGTTTTGATATAACTAGAAAAACAGACATCTCATATTGACATTGTTTACTAACACATTGTCAAGATACTCATTTGTATTTATTTAAGTTTATTTGTGCAGTCTGACTGCCACGACTAAATATTTATACAGAAAGGTCAAGCCCATACTAAGGTGAATTTGATCACAGAGGGTCAGCATGCTTCTCCTCCATAAAATTTCTAGTAGCTATTGCATTTCTATCATTTGACCTAGAAATTGCCCTCCTACCCCTGTCCTAAGCATCTCGAGCAAATAATCCAAAGTTGTGTCCGACTCTTTTGTGACCCCAAGGACTGTAGCCCATCAAGTTCTTCTGTTCATGGGATTTCCCAGGCAAGAATACTGGGGTGGGTTGCCATCTCCTTCTCCAGGGATCTTCCCAACCCAGGGATCGAACCTGCATCCCTGCATTGGCACATCCACCGAGCCACCTGGGAAGCTTCCAAAGCAATGTTTACTCGGCATTAATTCTAATCTCATTATTAGCTATAAATTTAGCTTAACAGAATTAAAAAACAACCAGAACGAAGTGAATGTGGTAACTAGTTTAAATCATTTTGACTCATTATTTCCTTTAATAATTATCAAATTTCCTTCACTTACATTAGTAGTGTTTTAGCATTTACAGTGTAGTTCCTCCTGAGCAGGCCGTGTACATGACTTACTGTTTACTGCTTCCAGTGAGAATGTAAGGTGCCCTACGGCAGACTCGGACATGGGCACGCACGTAGTGGGTGCTCAACAAGGCTGCGGTAGGGGACCCGCTGGTCCCAAAGTCCGTCCATCGCCGCGTCCTGTCAGTTTTTTCCACATCTCTCAGACGCTCCCTCTACTCAATCCCCCTGGCTCTGCCAGGCCTCTCCCTTCGTGGCTCCGGATTGGTACTCTAGTGCTCCAAGGGAGAGCTCTAAAGCACAGCTCCCACTGCCGGGAGGACACCACAGATTCCCGCCTCCTCCAGCCCCGCCCCCCCCCCCCCGCACCCCCGGGACCCATTGCAACCCCCTAGACCTCCTCCTCCTCCGGCGGCCATTACCCAGCTCGCTGGCGCAGTCACGTGCCTGTGTGTGTGTGTGTGTGTGTGTGTGTGTGTGTGTGTGTGTGTGTCGCTCAGTCGTGTCCGACTCTTTGCGACCCCATGGACTGCATAGATTGTAGCCTGTCAAGCTCCTCTGTCCATAGAATTCTCCAGGCAAGAATACTGGAGCGGGTTGCCATATCCTTCTCCAGGGGATCTTCCCAACCCAGGGACCAAACCAGGGTCTCCTGCATGGCAGGCAGATTCTTTACTGTCTGAGCCACCGTACTTGAAACTAAAATAAAGCTAGAATCTTAGTAGTCTGAGCGCTTCGTAGAAACTGAGGTTCTCTGGGATCTTGGGGAGACTTCCTTGGTAACTGTTGCTAAGGAGGGGACGCCCGGAAGTAGGCAGTGCGCCTGCGCCCAAGAAACCTGGTCTGCGCCTGCGCAGATGGAAAGCTCGAGGGGCTGCTTTCGGCATGGGTGAACCGGAGCCGGAGCAAATCCGTCTGAAGTGTGTCCGTAAGGAAGGCTTCTTCACGGTACCTCCGGAGCACAGGGTACGAAGAGGGCCTGCTTTGGTAGCTCTGTCCTCGCTAGCGGCAGCGCGGGGTTGAGACGTACTAGGGCCCTCAGCGTCTCGCTAAAGCGCTAGGTTTCCGGCAGCAGCGGGAACGGCAACCCCAGCGGTCCTCGGGGGTCGCGTCCGCGCCAGGTACTGGCCGGCTCTCAGGTCGCTGGCCTCCTCGTCAAGGCGCGCTGCAGCGCGGGAGTTTCTTAGTTTTGCGTCCGGGACGGGCGCCTCGTGTCAGGGGAGAATAGTCGTGGGAAGTGTTTGAGGCGAGTCTCCTACCAGCCTGTGGGTGCACTGGGCGGGGCCCCGTCTATGACCCGGCAGCTCCGCCTGTGCCTTGCTCTGCACGGGGCCTCTCCGTGTCTCACTGTCACGTAGTCCTTTCGAGGACCCTTCGTAGAGGTGAGAAGGGTGAAGCTTCGAGTGGTTTTACTATGGTAGACGGCTCGTGCAGGGGCAGGTGTGATCTCTGGTGGCGGGTGGTTTTGACTACTTCCTGGTGCTGTGCAAGGCCGCGTCAGTGTCCAGTAAGAACGGTAACAGACTGAATGAGAGCAGGAGCCAGCCTTGAGCCGTCCCCCCGGCGTTGTTCACTGAAACGCAGCAACTGCTCTCAGTTAAGGCATACCCAGAGGAGGACAGTGCAAAGTGCGCAATAGGAAGTGCCGCAAGACCCAAGTGTCAGGGGATCTTGCAGAGAAAGAAATGTTTTCGGCTGGGGCTCAGGAAGCAGTTTTGAGAAGGGGCAGCATTTCTGCTGGGCGGGTATGTGTGACTGGGTTTTGGATGCAGAGATGAGGAGGCAGGTGGGCTTGCTAGACCTAGGGAGCACCAGGAGCAAAATCCCGCGAAATGCAGTGTGTACAGGAAGCACCAGGGGTTCCGCAGAGAGAGGTAAAGAGGGAAGCAATTAGGTTGGGATGGGATGAGGGAAGGGGTTCGTTCGGGGCCAGGTGACCCTGACTTGGTTTCCCAAGATGGAGGGCAAGGTAAATAGAGGCAGAGAGAGAGAGTCAGAGAGGTGCAGTTTAGAACCTGAAACTTGACACATTGTGCAACCCACGAGGAAGTGCTACAGATGGTGTATTAGGGTACAGGCCCTGCTAGAACTTGGAGACCCCAAAGTACAGTGCTTTAAGGACAGGACTTTGATTTCTGGTGCCCCTAACATCACACAGGTGTGTCAGGCACTCAGGTTGTCTGTTTTTGCTCCACCAAATCCCAGCCTGCCTCAGGAGGCAGAAGGAGTGAAGGGCAACCAGCTTTCTTTGATCACGAAGTTGTGCTTGTCCCTCTGTGCACATCGCACTGGCCAGAATTTAGTCACAGCATTACACCTAGCTGCAAGGGAGGCTGGGAACTCAGGCCACCATCTGAGTTGCCATGTTCTCCCAGCATTGTTTCATAACACAGAGGAAGAAGTAATGTATGGATGTTGGAGACAGTGTCTGCCACTGTGTTTGGTATATGCTTTGTGAAGGTCTTCAAGCTTTTTCATGTCCAGAGCTTTGTTTATTTATTTATTTATGGTCACACTGCTCAGCCTGTGGGATTTCAGATCCCTGATCTGGGATGAACTCTCACCCTCAGCATTGAGAGTGCAGAGTTCTAACCACTGGACCACCAGGGAATTGCCTAGAGCATAGTTTAGACCATTGCTGCTCAAGTGGACTTTCTGTGATGATGGAAATGTTCTGTCTTCTGAATTGTCCACTGTGGTCACTATGAACTGCATGGGGCCATTGAGCACTTCACATGGTTCATGTAGCTGAAGAAATGAACTTTTAGTTTCATTTTAGTCAATTTTAACCAAATGTGGCTGGTAGTTACTCTTTTTAGGCAGCACATATCTGGACCATGGGATTGAAAGGGAGTGGTTGGACTGACTTTGATTTCACTTTCAAAGTGTCTGGCCAGTATCATCACCCCATTTTCTCAACGGCAAACCCAAGTGTGTGGTCACCCCTTTGTTTGGTGCCCAGGACAGGTGCTGGCTCTTTGGAACAGCTTAAGTGTCAGTATCCATCTCTGGTTCCCTTAGCTGCCAGATCCCTTCACTGCCAACACCTCTCTCTTTCAGCTGGGACGGTGCCGGAGCGTGAAGGAGTTTGAGAAGCTGAATCGCATTGGGGAAGGCACCTACGGCATTGTATGTGAGTGGCTAAAGTGGCAGGCCTGGGACCCAGGGACTGTCCTGGCAGCAACTGTGTCAGGGCTGGAAGGAGAGTGCCGGTGACCTTTAATCCTTGATATAATTGCTGTCGATTTCATACCATGACTGAGTAAATGGAAGCATCAGATTGTTCATGTGTCCCTGTAAGTGGAGGTCACTATCACACCATCAAGTGTAGCACTGTGGACGATGGCCAGAGGTGCAGCCAAAGCCACTGGGACATCGGTGTGCATCACTGTGCTGTGGGTGTGGAAGCTGCACAAATCCCCACAGTGCTCTGGGGAGCAGCTTCAAAAAGATAAGGCTGCTTTTGTCACAATAAGGACATTATTTGCTGTTAGAACACAGAAACCGCAGAACACAAAGCAGTGGTCTGCACTCCAGCTCTAAGAAGGAAAGGTTCAGGGAGACTCTTCTAGTCCAGGGCCTGCTATCTGCTCAAACCAGGGGATTCCCCAGGGAGCACCTGTCTCCCAGCCTTGGACTATTGCTTGCACAGGGTACCAGCAGTCAAGGAAGAAGAGCATGGGTGCCCCCAGGTGGCAGGAGGGCAGGGGGTGGGCCTGGATCCTACTGTGGAGGCACTTCCCTTCCAGATCGGGCCCGGGATACCCACACGGATGAGATTGTCGCCCTGAAAAAAGTGCGGATGGACAAGGAGAAGGATGGTGAGCAGGGAGGGGCCCCTGCACCACTTGCACTCAAGTGGGAGGGGATAGGAAGACGCAAATTGCCTGAGCTTGCTGAGTGGTGCATGCATGATGGTCAAAGGAGGCTGGTCTCTAGGGGGCTGCAGTCTGGCCCTGCCTGTCTCCCCTGGACTTTTCCAGCTCACCATCCCTCCTCCACACCCTAGCCTCAGCTCCCCTGAGCCGTGTGCAGTTCATCCCCTTCATCTGTTCTCTCCCTCCTGCTGGCTGACTCTGCCTCCTCTTCTGTCTCAGCTCAGCGTCACCCTCCCCAGGGCTTTCCCACTGAAGACTGGGCAGGTAGCCCCTGTGTGCTGCTCACACCCCTGCTGACTGCCCCTTGGCTGCCTGTGCAGGCAGGGCTGTGCTGTGCTCACTGGGGGCTGGCTGCCATACACAGTGGTCAGTACAGAGAGCTGCTTGTGTTTCATGGAGGAGGAGAGGGTTAAAGGTGCTGGTTTGGATAGCCTTGCCTCTCCTTGAGGTAGCAGGCAGAGTTCTGCTGGGTAGGGCTGGGAGTCACTGAGGCAGCTGGCTGTCAGGGGTCCCTGTCTGCAGGGGTGGGGTCACTGAGCTTGGGCCAGCTGCGGAAGTGGGGTCACCAAGGCCAGCCTGGTTGCAGGGGTCCCCATCAGCAGTCTTCGAGAGATCACACTGCTGCTTCGCCTCCGCCACCCCAACATTGTGGAGCTGAAGGAGGTGGTTGTGGGGAACCACCTGGAGAGGTGAGCGGTCTGCTTGCTGCCCCCACGTTAGGCCCTGCCCAGCCCCCTCCCTGCTTCCCTTCCTGCTGCCCAGGAGGGTCCCTTGGCTCACCTGGGAGGAGGTGGGAGGTGGCTTGCATTTCTCCCTCTTACTTTAGCATCTTCCTGGTGATGGGTTACTGTGAGCAAGACCTGGCCAGCCTTCTGGAGAACATGCCAACACCCTTCTCTGAGGCCCAGGTTGGAGGCAGGGGCTGGGGTGGCCAGGGATGGGGTGGCTGTGGTGGGGGGCTTCCCAAGCCTTTGTGAGGTACTTTGTGCCAAAAGCAGGCCTCCTGGCCTTCTGCAGGTCAAGTGCATCGTGCTGCAGGTGCTCCGGGGCCTCCAGTACCTGCACAGGAACTTCATCATCCACAGGTGGGCGGGGCTTGTGGCATGGGGGCGGGGTGACCGCCAGACTGACTCGGCACCAACCTGCAGGGGAGTAGAGCAGCCTCAAGCAGTGGAGTTCCTGTAACTGGTCCTGGGGGAGGGTGGGATGGGATAGTACCTGTTTTCCCCTCTGCCAGGCAGATGGCCCGGGAGGGACCTGTACTCCAGGGAGGCTCGTGCTGCCCTGGGGGGACCAGGGGCAGGACTCCACCTCTCGGGAAGTCATTGAGAGCTCTCTGCTGTTTCCAGCTACCGAATGGCCTTGCATTACCTGTGCTCCTAAAAAGTGCAAACAGGATGAGATGTGTGGGGAAGCGTTCTGAGTGTTGCTGCAGCAGTGACAACCTCGTTCCTGCACGTGGGTTTCTGGGAACCACTGGTGTTCTCTTTCTGTCATAGGGATCTGAAGGTCTCTAACTTGCTCATGACGGATAAGGGCTGCGTGAAGACAGGTGGGTGCAGGTGCTGCCTCTATGATGGGGTCTGTGAGCGCCCCTGCACTGGGGTGGCAGGCTGGTCTCCGGAAGCTCACTGCACACTACACACTGGCTCGAGGTGGCAGTGGTCAGCCTTCCCTGAGTGACACTCTCCCTCCCATCCCTCTGCCTCCATCTCAGCGGATTTTGGTTTGGCTCGGGCCTATGGCATCCCAGTGAAGCCAATGACTCCCAAGGTGGTCACACTCTGGTAAGTCCCTGGAGACCAGGGGAAGTTTGGGCAGGTGTGGGTGGTTCATGTTGAAGTGGCCAGAGCATCTTGGAGGTCTTTCAGCTGCCAAGAAAGAGCAGTGCTTTCACGGGGAGGGACCTGCCCATCCAGATGGGGTGCTGTTCTGTCCCGAGGCAGCCCCGCCCCCAGCTGGCTCTTGAGTTGCTCAGAGGGGAGGTGGCTTCACCACTGGAGCATGGGAACAGCGCAGGTTTCTGCAGTTCTCACTTGACATTTTGAAGCAAAATGGGGTGTGGTTCAGGGCAGGCTACGTTCTGCTGTGTCACTCACCCCAACTTGTGTAGAAAGGCCAGCATAGGACACTGCAGCACTCAGGGGTCATCCAGTGATAGCAGTATGTTTGTTGAGCTTTCGTGGAAGAGACAGCCTTAGCTGGGGTTTATGCTCCCTCATCCCAGGCCATCTCTGGCTCTCAGGCAGGGTGGTGGCTGGTGGGTGCCCTTTGGAGGCCAGGCTGGAGGAGAGGAACTGCCAGATGCAAAGCAGGGGCTTCTGTTCGCAGGTACCGAGCCCCTGAACTGTTGCTGGGAACCACCACGCAGACCACCAGCATCGACATGTGGTGAGATGTGGATGCTGCTCCCAGACCTCTCAGATGGTGGGGTGGTCTTGTGGGACCTGGGAGTGGGGTGCGGGCAGCTGTGGGGCTGGGGTCTCATCAGCTCCCAGGAAGATGGGCCTATGCCTGGGGTCCTGAGAGGCAGAGGGAGACAGCCCCGTCACTGAGGACCTGCCCTCGTGGCCATAAGAGGCCTGCTGAGACCAGGTCACGTGGCCCAGCTGGAGACCCCATTCATCATCCCATCATGACTGCCTCCCAGCTCTGCCCCCAGCCTCCGCCCCCAGCAGCTGGGGGACTGGTCCAGGCGGAGCCGAGGAGCTGAGAGGAGACCCCGCACTCCTCTGCAGGGCGGTGGGCTGCATCCTGGCTGAGCTGCTGGCCCATAAGCCCCTTCTCCCTGGCACTTCCGAGATCCACCAGGTGGACCTGATTGTGCAGCTGCTGGGGACCCCCAGTGAGAACATCTGGCCGGTGAGTGCCAGCCCCGCCCTCCTCCCTCCTGCCCCTGCTAGCCACTGGCCTTTACCGGCCCCTCCCCACAGGGCTTCTCTCAGCTGCCGCTGGCCAGCCAGTACAGCCTGCGCAAGCAGCCCTACAACAACCTGAAGCATAAGTTCCCGTGGCTCTCGGAGGCTGGCCTGCGCCTGATGAACCTCCTCTTCATGTACGACCCTAAGAAAAGGTGCTGAGAGGGCCCCACACGTGCGTGAGTCAGGCCGGCCTTGGTGGGGCTCTGCGGGGCGGCTGTGCGGGAGATGAGCCTGGCTGGGCCTGGGCCCGGTAGACAGCGAGGTCTCCTCTCCAGGGCGACGGCCGGCGACTGCCTGGAGAGCTCCTACTTCAAGGAGAAGCCCCTGCGTGAGTCTTCCCTGCTGGCACTGCCGGGGGTCTTTATGTGTAGGGTGGGGGTTAAGGCAGGGGGGTGGTGGGGCCCAGGCGGGTAGGGGCTGTTTTGGGCCACGTAGGGAGGCTCAGGAGGGGAGCAGAGGGTGGTGTGGGGCCCCTCCCTCACTCAGGGCTGATGGAGTCCGCTCCCCCCACCCCCAGCCTGCGAGCCGGAGCTCATGCCCACCTTCCCCCACCACCGTAACAAGCGTGTCACCCCAGCCACGTCCTTGGGCACTGAGAGCCAGAGCCGGCGCTGCAGACCCTGATGGGTGGAGGCACTCCAGCTGAGCACGGCGCCTCCTGTGCCCCTGCCCACCTCTGCCCTGGGACAGCAGAGTGTGGACCTTGGGGCTGATGCCAGTGGTACACTCTGAGGACCCAGCCACCCAGAGGCCGGCCCACAGGGCTGTGACGCCACATCATGGCTGGGCTGGGTCCCACCTGTGGCCAGGCCTCAGACCCTCGGTTCCCAGGAGGAAATCTGGCTGAGCCCATGTCAGCGGGTGTTGCTGGCTTGGGACAAGCAGACCTCAGACCTCGTATAGTCACTTCTGTCTCCAGTTGATCCCCAGGATCTGCCTGGAATGGAGAGGCCAAGGTGACCCCCCCTTGGTGGGGCTGTTAGACTTGGAGAGGGGAGGAGGGATGGAGATGTGGACTGAGTCTGAGCTGCTCTGAGACCCCTAGAGTGAGAGCCTTGGGCTGTGCCCTGTGCCCACTCCCCGCCTCTGAGGCCCATGGGGAATGGGGGTGATGATCCAAGAGATAAATGCTTTCCTCAGACGTGGTTGGAGCCAGTGTCCTTTAATGTACTTGGAGGTTGTGATTTGTGTGACGTGACAGGTGTGGGGGATGAGGGCAGACGGCCTGGTGTGGGGGCACCATTGAGCGGAGGCCACACAGAAGACTGGCACCTGCCCCCGGAGTCCTGGTGGGCAGAGCACCCCCAGCCCAGTGAGCTGGGGAATGAATGCTGGCATCTGCGCCGTTACCACTGGATCTGGGGTGGGCAGCCTTTGCGGTCTCCCACCCTGCCTTCCAGAGTGGGGGGTGTGCGACCAGTGGGGAGCTGTCTATGGAGGGTAAGTCCCCACCTCACCTGGTAGGGCAGACACTCCACTCGGCAGGAAGAGCAGGGTGGCCAGTGGGCGGGGCCTGAGGCAGGACAAGCCCCAGAAAAGCACCACGGAGTTTCTCCAGAGAGCCCTTGACCTGGGGCCAGCTGGGTCTAGGGCCCAGCCGCTGGGCTGTCGTAGAGCAGGGCGTCCACCTGGGCTCGCTGCAGCCACAGACGCCGCTGGCTGTTCCCACGCAGGGTGCGCAGGCTGTGGCTGGGGTGACAGCTGGGAAGGGTGGCACAGTGGGCGGCATGCAGCTGGCGACACGTGTCGCAGCAGAGGGCGGGCAGGGCTCCTGGGGCCAGGCAAGTGTGCATCTGGTAGCCGGGAGGCTCGGGGATGGGTGGGGGGCTGGCCTGCTCAGGGCTCCTAGGGGCATGGGGAGGGGCCAGGTCCCCAGGCCGACTAAGCAGCTCTCTACGCAGTGAGAGGAAGGAGAAGGCTTCGGGCTGGGGCTCCTCCTCTTCTGAGGCCCCGGAGGTGGGGCTGCTGGCCTCAGCTGGCTCCCATGGCCCGCCCCCCGCCCCCCACAGTCTGGCACTCTGCTCCCAGAACCGAGGCCGGCAGGCCAGTTCTGATGCAGGTGAGTCGGGGCCAGACGAGGGCCCCCCGTACAGGCTGGCCTCATCTGAGCCGTCGTCCTCCTGCACGTCCCGGTACAGGTCCAGCCGGGCCTGGCACCCAGTGGGGGAGCCACGGCGGGGCAGGGGTGGCTGTTCTTCCTCTCGGGTCAGTCGCTGCTGCAGCCAGGCCACACAGGAGGCCACGTCCACGCTGGCCCGCCGCGCCTGCAGCAGCTCCTCGGCTGGCAGCACGCTGGTGCCCAGCTGCGCCAGCACCTCACCCAGGATCTCGCACTCCAGCCGCAGCGCGAAGCAGCCCAGGGCCACTTGCACCAGCTGGCGGGCAGGAGGCAGGGCAGCCACCATGAGGCGGTGGGCATCCCTGCGCACGTAGCCCATCTTCTGGAAGCTCTGGATGAGGAGGTCCTCCGAGAGTGCGCCCTTTAGCACGTGCACGTAGCCCCCAGAGAACGTCTGCAAGGGAGGGGGCCGGTTGGTGGCACCCCCCCCCCGCCCCCTCCCTTGCAGACCCGATGAGCTCACTTCTGGGAGGTGCAGCCCTGGACACAGCCTCTACCCAGGCTGGGGGCGTGAGCTAGGTTTTTGTCTAGGCCAGCTCCCTTAGGGCATGCAGGAGTAACCCCAGCCCCTGCCTAATTCATAGGAGATACATCCATCTCATGTCCTCCTCTACTCCCTCCACTAGGTTCAGTCCCTGGTTGAGAAACTGGTATCCCGCAAGCCGTGCAGCCAAAAAAGAAAAAAACAGATGTTTGGGTCACCCCTGAGGTTCTAATATTATTGGCTGAGGCAGGCCTAGGCATCACAATCTTTTAAAAGTCTGATACATTTCACCTGCATCATAGAACAAACTAAAGAGCCCCTATGCTGAGAAATCTCACGGCCCCATGAGTCCCTTCTACCTCCTGTCACCTGTAGGGGTTTGCTCCTCTAGTTAGTTTACTGTGTATGTACCTGCTGAGTGTCTACTTATGCAAACACACAAAAACAGAGGTGTTTTTCTGCTTCTCTGAGCAGGTAGCCACCTAAACACTTTATTCTGAGCTCTACTTTTTCAGTTTCTGAGAGCTTTCTCCATTAGGACAGAAGGCTGTGTAGCTTTCCACCACATGGATGGAATGTGTAGGTTTTGGAGGCTACAGACTGCAGAGGAACTGAAAGTTTCCTAGGATGGTGATCTTGTGTCTCCCAGTCTATGACTCTGGGACCCCGTGAGTGCTCTGCTTAGAGCCACACATGGGGGGGCTACTGTGTGTAAGATTGTACCCAGGGCTGTACCTTCACCCCTCAACAATGGACCTTATGCTGGCCTACTCTTGTGTCTGCTTCCCAGAGGAAGAAATGGATTCTTGCCCCAAGCCACAGCCAGAGGAAAGCAGCAGCAGATCCCATACAGGTCTGCTCAACACTGAAGCCAGTTAGCGTCTCAAGATCAGGCCTGCCCATTCTGCTCCTGGCCCCTGTGGGGCTGGATCCTGCCCTCTCGTCTGAATGGATGAATGAAAGCCCTAGCAGAAGTCCCCGTGGAGCGGTGGGCCCCAGGGCTCACTGTCCCTGAGAGAGGCTGCTGTTGTCACGACAACCAGTGGAGGCAGCCGCCCACGTGCCCAATGACGTCATTATCTTCCCACTCTTCTGAATTAGCTCAGAGCACAAAGCAGCCTGCCTGCCCCCTCCTGCCAGCCCGCAGCTCACCTGGAGGGGCCAGGCCGGCCCTGGGCACAGCCTCTACCCAGGCTGGGGGGTGAGCTAGGTTCTTGTCTAGGCCAGCTCCCCTAGGGCATGAGGGGTACCCCCAGCCCCAGCCTACTTCATAGGAGATACAGCTACTCCATGTCCTCCTCTACAAAAGGGATCAACCCACATCCTGGAGGGATTAGGGTGCTCATGGAATGCCGAGTCCTTCCCATGCACCTGTCCTAGGATTTCTATGGTAACAGACCACAAGGCCGCTCTTCACGCAGCGATACAAGCTTTAAGAGGCAGGATCCCCTGAGGAGGCAGGTACCCAGACAGGTGTTCTCAGCCCTAGGAGTACCAAGGGAAACCTCGGCCACGCCCAGGACACTGGCACACTGAGCCCTCTGAAACCCATCTGGCTTTGTGGACACCTGCAGTCCCTCATCCCAGCGGTAGCCTCTGTCCGGAAGATGCCCAGCACCCAGTACCCGGGGCAGGGAACCTCCACGTGGCCCGTCGCCCTACCTTGATGGTGGTGAACTCCTTTCTCCACGGCAGCAGGTACAGGTGCACGGCGGCCAACTCCAGCAGCTCGAAGGCACGGGCCAGGCCGCGCAGCGCGGGGGCCAGGTCGGCGCGCCCCCACAGGCCGTCGGTGAGCAGTGCCAGCGCGTCATCCTGCAGCGCCCCGTGCAGGTCGAAGTCTTCCACGAGGATGTGCCAGAGCACGGCCCGCAGCGACGGATCTCCGCACACGCCCGCGCGGCCGCGCCGCAGTTCCCGCTCCAGGCACAGGCGGTAGTCCTCGGACAGTGAACTACTACCCATGCTGGCGGGCAGGAGTAGGGTGTCAGCACCCAGAGGCCCCTCCCTGCGCGCTCCGCTCCTCTACAGTCCCCGCCTGAGTCCACAGTACCCCCCCACCCCCAGTTGAGCGCCACTGGTGTCTACAGCACCCTGTTCCCTGGAGACTTGCGCCAGCTGAGTCTCCCTTCCCAAGCAGAAATCCGCTTTTGCCCAGCAGCCCGCCGCCCTACCTCTCTGCCCCCAGCGGCGCCGAGCGCCCGCCGCTCCGTTCGGGCTTCTCAGCAGGCAGCAGCGCGCTTCCGCCGGGGACGGCTCCGCCCCTCGGCTTTGGCCCGGACGTTCTGGGCGGAGTCTCTTCGGGGGCGGGGCCTGGTCGGGGCCGGGGTGCACAAAAGCAACGCACCTGGACTGCCCATGAGGGGTGCACAGCGGGCGCCCCTACCCAGGCTGGCACGGGGCGCTCTCCTGCCGCGGGTGCAGACCACCAGAGCTGGTCCCTTGGGAACGCTAGGCCTCCAGGGAAGCAGGTACCGGGTCTCCTCGTGGGCACGTCGGGGTCCCGGGCCGAATCTTGAGAGCGGGGCTACCGCGAGGGGGCGGGACCCTCCTCGTCGCCTAACGGGGATGACCAGACTTGGGGAAGAGGGCGGAGCCGCCCTCTGGCTGGGCGGGGCCGGCGCTCAAGGTGGGCGCCAGACGTGCGTTTCCGTGTGATTTAAAACAGCAACCCGGTGGTCCATTTGGTGGGACTCCGCGCTTCCGCTGCTGGGGGCCCCGGGTTCCATTCGTGGGCAGGGAAGTTCCTCGTGCGCGCCTCCCAAAAGAAAAAACAGAACAGCAACGTGGGCCTCTTTGACTCGGTCAGAGATTCCAGGCATCCAGGCCCAGATGGGCCACAGCTTCCAATTTCCTTATTCTGGTTTTCCTGCCTAACTCACCGTTAAGACTGTGTGGAGAAGGGATGTGTTCGCTCCTTGGGCAGTCAAGGCTCCGCGATTTCTGGGACCCTAACCTCTCCAGGCCAAGTGGAACCTGACTTGGGAAAAGATTTCTATACTTTGAGAAAAAGATCATAACCAAGTAGGGATCTGAGCCTAGCCGTGTTTTGCCGAGCACCGCTGAACGTTCCAGTCTTGCACTTACTGTCTACTTGACTCACAGCCCCCTCCGGGCTCGCATCAACCCTGAAGGGACACCTGACTTCGCACACCTCCAAGTGCACCCTTGTGTGAAGGAAGAACAGCTGCGCCTACTACTCTCCTCAGTTCACAGTGGTTTACGGTGGGTGCACAGCGCCTGCCACTCTGTGGCATCGCCTACGGCCTTGCCCTGCTCTGCTGCTCCACTCCGGCCCTCAGTGGCTTCAGGGGCGTGCTCTGGATTGTTGTGTGCTGCTCCAGGGAGCAGGCCCCTGTTTTGGTGGGACCCTTGAACCTGGGTAGGTCTTGGCACTGTCCTTCCATAGAGGACACAGAATGAAAATGACAGTGTGTGGATTCCTAGGTTAGGTCACAGAAACACCTTATTGTCTTGAGATGCTCAATCTTGGAACCTAGTCACATGCTGGGGGGATACCAGCAGCTGCGTGAGGGGCCAGATAAAATTCAAACTCCATAGAGCCTGGGAATGTGAGCTTATATAATCAAGTTAAGACGAAGTCAGACTGGACCCTAAGCCCAGTCAGAACAGTGTCTTTACGAGCAGGAAGGTTACACACTTCGAGAGGAAGCATATGATGGACACAGAGACTTGCAGCCACGGGCAGAGGCTACAAGAGCCCCCAGAGCTGGACCGAGGCAGGAAAGGGATCTGTCTGGCACTCTGCCGGCCCACGGCTCTGTGGACACCCTGATTTAAGACTTTAGGACTTTGAGAGTAAACTTTCTGTTGTTTTGCGCTCCCCAGTTTGTGTGTTGTTATGGCATCTAGTTAGTTACAGGAAATGGACGTGGGCCTCGCATGGCTGTCCTCACAGCCCTGAGGCCCTTGCTGATGGCAAAGGTGTAGGCAAGTCTCCAGATGACCCTAACCCCTGGACCTTGTGTCACTCCAGCTTGAAAGCTGACATAGTTGATGCTGCAGGGGGGCAGAGATGAGACTTCCATACTGAATCCTGCTGAAACGGGAGTTTCAAGAGCAAAGCAAATGGCTGTCCTGTGTTTAAGCCACCAAGTGGACTGCCTTATCACCCAGCAGGCCGCCCTGCCTCCTGTGACCTTGGGCTACAACCGGGAGTGGAGTAGGTAGGTGAGTCAGTTGATACTTACCTTGGCCCAACACGCTGCACAACCACATGTGTGGCCCTTGTCTCCCAGGCAGCACTGCCCTCTGGATTTTCCAACCTTATCTTCACCAGTGCAATGCCTAGGTTTCCTGTCTTGTGTTTTACTTTGCATTTCTTGATTTTTAAAATGATTTCAGACACTTCTTATGCTGATTAGCTTTTTAAATTTCTTCTTAAGACAGACTGTTCATAGCCTTTGCTATTTTTCTAACTGGAGCTCCTGCCGTTTTCTTGTTGATCTGCAGGATTTTCTATGTGAAGAATCCATCATTCACTCGTTCTATGGAGGGCCACGGGCAGGGAGAGGCTAAAGAACTGGCCCAGGATCACCAGCAGGAAAGCTGTCTGATCAGGGGAAGGAGACAGCCTCAGGGCCAGCAGGGGCCTGCCCAGTCAGGCCTAGCTTGAGACCCACCTTCACCTCCACCTGCTTTGTGAGGGGGACTTTACAGTCCCATCCTTGAGATGTCCCCATCAAGGCCTGGACCAGGGATGTCATCATCCCCAGGCTTCACAGCTGGCTGGGACTCATGTCCAGGGCTGGGGGCTTTCCTCTGGAGAGGGCAGGGGTGGGAGACAAGGGCAGGAATTCAGAGGCCCCAGGTTCTGAGAGCAGGGCAGGGTGAGTGGGTGGATGCCTGCTTGTTTGTTCTTGGGGTGCTGGTGGGCAAGTTATTCCTGCTCACAAAGGCTCCCGAGACAGGCAGCTGCCCCAGGGCACTGGGCCTGTGCCTGCCCTTCAGGTTATGTCCACTGGTACGCTCTGGCCTCTGGAGTCAACCTGCTGGGCTCAAAGCCAGCTCTGCTCTGGGAGGTATGGCCTGGAAGAGGCAGTCACTTCTTCATGCCTCACTTTCCTCATGTTCTCCTGCAGAGCCCTGGGACACTGTGCACACAGGATGCACAGTCAAGTCCAACTGAGCCTTTCCTAGGGACCTGCCCACTCCTTTCATGATGGGCCTCTGCCGTGGTGGGGGGGCCGAGGCTCTGCTGTGGGGGGCAAACCGCTCACCTCCTTCCCTGGCAGATACTGTCTGGGGCTGCGTCCAGGCCACCTGTCTTGTGCTCTCCAGGGGCCCCTGGGTGTGCTGTCTACCTGGAGAGCAAAGCTGACTCTGGAGAACTCTTCAGGATAAGTGCTCCAGGCTTAGGTCCTGCCCAGTGATGACTTCTGACCCTGCCAACCCTCTAGGCCCCCCAGAGTGTGTCTAACGCTAGAGAGAACTGGCCCCTGCAAGACCCCACTCCTAGGCAGAGGGCTGGGAGGCAGGCTGAGTTTGGCAGTGACCCCCCCAGGGTCTCTGGGACTGTCTGGTTCCTGCCGGTCAGCCAGGCGTGGCTGTACTACTCAGGCCTCAGGCAGGCCAGTAGGGTGAGGAGCAAATGAGCCACGTGGAGGGAGATGCCAGTGACCTTTTTATTTCCAGTTGGGTCAGTGGCTGCCCAGGGGCCTGTAACAGTTTGTAGCCCCCCAGGCGGTGGGCTACAGGCAGGTGCTGACCCAGGGTTCGCACCGACCCCAAAGGGGCTGAGTGGGGGTGGGGATTGGCGGTGGAGGGTCTCAGGATTTCCAGGCCCACCGCCAAGGGTGAAGTGTGGCTCAGAGGTCCCAGACATGGGCAGATGCCCTGGGGACACCTGGGCCTCCAGGACAGAGTGGTCAGTGTCCAATAAATAAACAGCACGGTCTGAACCCACCTGGGCCTTGGGCCTCTGTGGGGGCGATCAGCTCTCTTCTGGACTCAGACAACAACCTGGCTCAAGGGGTTCCGAACGTCACAGGAATGTAGGGGAGCAGAGCTGCCCTCGGCCAGGCCCACAGCCCCTTCAGTCCTCGTGCTAGCTGTCAGCGGCCCGAGCCGCCAGGACGTTCATCCTCCCAGGAGCAGAGGGGCCTCCTTGAGCCCTGGGGGCCGATGTCACGCGGGGGCAAGAGCCCCTCCATGGCTGGCCTGCTGCCCCGTGCAGGTGTCTCCTGGCCAGTCCCTGGCCAGCTGGTCCTCCACTACTTGCCCAGGGCCCGCCGGGGCAGCAGCTCCACGTAGCTCAGGGCGCTCTGCAGGGATGTCAGGCAGTAGCCCTCCTCTCCTATCAGGTACCTGCATGGAGGCGACACCGGCACCTGTCACTGGAGGGGCTGTGGGGCAGAACCTCAGTGCTGAGGTCCCACAGGGGCTGTCAGGGGCTCCTCTGGGCTTCGTGCTGAGGTGGCCCAGGGACGGGCTCGAGGACCCCACCTCTCATGGATGAACTCCTCCAGGGCTGCACACTCCGACACCAACTGAGGGAGGCCACTCTTCAGCGCCACAAAGGACAGGATGGGCAGCAGGTCATCAGCACCACTGTTGGGGAGACACACATCTAGCCAGGAGGCTCCAGGGACCCGGGCAGGGGGGCCCGCTTAGTCCCCAAAAGCCTGAATCTCCAGCTGAGTCCCTGGAGCAGCCTTGAGCTTGCTGGCTGCTCTCTGTGCTCCTCCCACCCGCCGGCCACAGGGGGTGGGGGTGGGCTTGGATCAGCATGACGGAAGACTACCAGGGAGCACTGAGGCCATCGTGAATGGGGCCCCCGTGCTGCAGAGCCCAGGGCTGGACCAGGGAGGAACCGTTCCCCCTTCCTGTGCACTTGCCCGAGCCTAGGGACAGGCTGCTGGAGTGGGCGGCCCATGTTCCCAGGCAGCCTGTTCACTCCTGGGATCAGGGTCACTCATTTGCCACGCCTGGTACCCCAGACCTGATGCAGGAAGCCTCTCAATGAGTGAGGAAGTCCCTGGGGGATGGTCAAAACCCCGGTGAAGGCCCCACGGGTCAGTGCTCTCTGCCAGAAGAATGAAGGCACAGACCAGGGACTCCTGTTCGCACTTCCCTGGGAGCCACAGACCTGCAGGGACCCTCCCCACCCTCTGGCTCCTCAGAAATCCTGAGGGAGCTTGTGTGGGGGCTCTGAAACAGTTTTAGTTCTGGGACCCTTTTACCTGCAACAACTTTTTTTGAGGCCAGATAGTAAAATGGTGAAGGCAACCCCAGGCCTCTGCACAGGTAGGCGCCACAGCCTGCCCACTCGGCTGCAAGCACAGATGCCTTCAGGGCGACCCTGGTCTCTGGCACAGGGTGGCAGGAGGCAGAGCCCTGGCAGGTCCAGAGGGTTCACCAGTACCAGGGCAGGAGACTGCCGGCTCTAGGCCCGTCTAGGTGAGTTAAGGCAGAACACAGTGGGGAAGGCCCTTACCCGCCTCGGGAGTCTGGGCAGGGACTAAGGAAGCTTCCCCAAGTGTAAGACAATGTGACACAGAGGGGAAGCACAGGCTTCGAGAATGCCACCAGAATACAGAGGGGCAGGGCCCTGTCCTCTGCAGGGCTGGAACCAGGAGTCTTTGGTGGGAAAGGGCCTCAAGGAGAAGCAAGGCAGAACCCAGTGCTGGGGCAGGGTGAAGCGCTTCCGCTCTCCTGAGCCTCTGAAGGCAGCCACAGACAAGCCCAGGGCGCTGCCCCCACCCCAGCCCCGCCCACACCTCACAATCGCACCCTTCTGGGACTCACATAGCGGCGATGCCAGGCTGCAGTGCAGCCTCCCGGGCCCGGTAGTAATCCTCCGCACAGGCGCAGATGACCCGCAGGGCCCGAACTAAGGCACAGAAGCCAGGCTTAGTGTGAGGGGGTGGGGATGGTGTTCCAAACGGCCTGGGGCACTGCCGCACCCCCACCCCGTGCAGGACTGGGCAGAGAGGACAAGCATCGCTTCTGTTCCAAGGGACTCCTCCCCACCAGACGGCCAGGCTGTGGCTCAGAGGTGTGGACTCAGGGTGCCCCGTGGGACGGGACACTGCTGTCCCTTCCCAAACCATCCCCTCACCAATGCACTCCAGCTTCTTCTGGGGGCAGCTCTCCAGAACCAGCAGCCCCAGCTCCTGGGCTGCGGCGCAGTAGGGGTAGGGGGCTGCTCCCGCGGCCTCGGGGTCCTGCGGGAGGAGCCTGGTGGGGACGCCGATGGCCGCCGGGGGCGCATTCCTATACAGCTCCATGCTCCGGCTCAAGGCCGCCTCCCGCAGGCGGTGAACGCTCCTGGAGTGGAGAGAGGCCAGGTTCAGCAGCCCAGAGACACCGACACCGGGGCAGACAGAGACGGGGCTGGGGGAGCCGGCCACACCCAGAATCCTGGACGGTGGGCGTGGCACCGCCTGCGAACCAGAAACACCTGAGGCCGGGAAGGGAAGGCGCCAGCGGCGGGAAGCACCCAGGTGGACCTCGGGGGGCAGGGGCCCACCTATAGACGGCCAGCAGCAGGGGCCACAGTGGGGAGAAGAACGGCTCCTCGATGCAGGCCAGGCAGCGGTCCTTGGAGGCGGCCGTGTTTAGGCCTTCAAAAGCCAGGAGGGTGAGCGAGAGCAGCCTGTCTGCCGGGAGCAGAGCCGGCTCAGCGGGGACCTCCAGCCCCGCCCCGCAGACAGCCTCCTCGGGGTGGGCCTCGCCGCAGGTTGCTTCTGGGCTCCTTGGGAGGGCGCTCTGCCTGGCCCTGCCTCCCCTCCCCTTGAAACCCTGCGGCCTGGTAAGCCCTCATCCCTGGGGTCACAGGGTCACAGGTAGCTGCCCAACCGCCCACCTGCCTTGGGGCCTCACCGATGGCATCGTGTATGTCCTGCACCGTGCCCTTCAGCTGCTCCAGCATAGGCTCCTTCCTCACCCCTGGGGTCTGGGGCTCAGGCCGCCCCCCAGGGCCCCAGCCCCTCCTCTCAGGAGTAGCCAAGAACTGTTCTAGGTCCTCGAAGGAGCTGTCCTTGCCCAGCAGCTGGGGTGAGGGAGGCCCTGCGGGGCTGCTGGGGTGGGGTGGGCTGGCACAAGGGCCATCTGGGGGCCTTGGGGCTGGGCTGGGCTCTGGGGGGGAAGGCATGCAGTAGAGGCTCTGAGAAGGCCGGAGCCGCCGGCTTCCAGGAGCCAGCAGCCCATCGGCATCCGGGGGCAGGGAACAGCAGCCGGGAGCGGTGCCCTTGCTCACGATGGGGTACAGCGCTCGGTACACTGCACACTGGAGCTTCTTGAGGAGCTGGGAGATGGGGTGGTCGGGAACGCTGTGAGTGGGGTAGAAGCAGTGTAGAGGGCAGCCCCGTAGGGCTGGCGGCTGCAGCCTCCTCACCAGGCTCTGGGGTGGGAGCTACAAAGCCCGCCCGACCCCCCCACCCACTGGTCATATGGCCCCACTGTGAGGGATTTCAGAGAAGGGACTCGTGGATTAAGCCTTGAGGGCAAATGTCCCGCCCCTCTGAGAAGGCAGAAGGCCTGTGAAAGGCCATCAGGGGCCTACTGCCCCTGCAGTCACCCCAGACCTCCTCCTCTTTCCCTCTTAATCCCTGCTGGAGGGAGCTGAGGCCCGATACCTGAGCAGGTGGGAGACCAGGCTGGTCACCAGGGACAGGTCCCCTGGGCTCCTCTTGAGCTTGGCCTTCCAGTGCTTTGGCCAGTCCTGCAGGACAGGAACTTGGGAGAGAGCCTGGAAGCCCCTCCTCCCTCACCAGAGCTGCCCCCTGGGACCAGACCTCCCCACCCCGCCCCGCCCAGCACTTACATGGTCTTGCTCATACTCCAGGATGGCGGCATAGAGGGCCCGCTGCTCCCGCTCCTCAGGGGTCAGGGCAACCTGGCTGCAGAACCTCCTGGAAGGAAGGACAGGTCTGGGGACCTCAGGGATGGACAGGCAGGCGCGGGAGCCCCCACCTGCTCCCCCCACCCCCCAAAGTCCTGGGACTGGAGGCAGGGACGCACTTGTTGGCGGCCTCCTGCAGCCGCAGCCGGCGCTCTTCCATCTTCCTCTGCAGCTGGGGCAGCAGAGTCAAGGCCCTTTCCGAGTGGCATGTATGGACCCCAGGCATCCCTGAGCCCTGCCGGACACAGGCCGGTGGGGTGGGTGGAAGAAGGCAAGTCCTAGTCGACCTGAGGGGTGGAGAGGAGTCTGTGGGTGCTGGGAGGGGCAGGGTGGCCTGTACAGAGGCCAGGAGGTGAGAGGAAGCAGGATGGGCAGAAAGCACTGCCCCCCGTTCCCCCCTACAAGGATGCTGGGCTCTGGCACCTCTCCTCCCTGCCTCCTCCCTCAGCTTAAGCCTCTGGACCCCAAGGCTGGATGGAAAGGATACTGTGTCCTCCCGGGCCTTAGCGATCACCAGGTTCTCCATCATCTGGCGCTGCAGGGACAGGGTCTAGGACAGGAAGAGGGAATAAGGCCTGCCCCCCTGGCACCCCCACTCCACATGGTCCTGGGCCCCACTCACCAGGGATGTCTTCTGCATGGCCTGGCTGGGGTCTAGCCGGGCCATCCGGGCCTCATAAGCAGCCTTCAGCTTCTGATTCTGCAGGGAGGCCTCTTCCAGGGGTGTCAGCTCCCTGGAATTGTGACAAGCTGCTGGTCAGGCTCCAGGAAGGCCAAGAACCCTCCAGTTATCTGAGGACCCCTCCTAGCCCTCCCCTGAGATCACAAGGTGAGGAGGTAGTGATCGGGGCAGCAGGGATGTAAAGGAGAGAGGAGGTCTGGGGTGGACAGGAGATAGCTGCACCCCTAAAATATGGCCCTACTGCCTGGATTCCAGACCTTTAAGCAACTCAGTCATATGAGTTTCTGAATAGCATTGAAACTCTTTGAAGGCACCATGTGGGCTAAATAGCTAGTTTGCAGCCCACAAAAGGGAGGTCACAGTACTCTGTAACAGCTACTGACAGCCCTCTCACCATCCAAAGTTTCAGTCTAATATCTTCCTGCTTTCATGGGTGGGAGGAGGTAAGCTGTGGGGCACAAGACTGTCCTGGGATGGGAGTTGGTGCCTGGCCCTCCCCCAGAGCTGCACATGCAGGGACAAAATGTAGCAGTGGCTCAGAGCCTGGCAGCAGGAGGAGCCCGTTCTCTTGCCTATCCTGCTGGGGTTCTGGCATTTGTGTCTTGGGATCTTTCATCCGCTCTAGAAAGCAAATTGTCTTTATCTATTCAAATAATGCTCCTCTTACATTTTCTTTGTCATCTGTTTCTGGATAGACCTTCCATGTCTTTTTCATATTTTCTTTTTGTGTGTGTGAGTTATTCAGGAAAACCTTTAACCTTTTATCCAGTTCTCTAATTCTCTCTTCACCTATGTCCACTCTGCTGTCACAAACTTGTACACTTCTTTTTGGGTCCATGTGTGTATTTTTACAGGAGAATATAATGTTTCCATTGTTTTTGATTAGTTTTTAAAAATAATTTCAGTATTTCTTACTACTACTTGGTTCTTATTTGACCTCTATTATAAATAAGGGTCAGATTTTACAGTTTCTTGTTCCCTAAAGGTATTTTAAAACTTTCTTTTTATTTCCCTGAATATAGAGAGCATGATTGTGTTATAGTCTCTGTCCCATAATTCTATCTGAAGATTTTTCAGGTGTGTTTCTGCTACTGCTCAAACTTCTTTTTGTGCATGGTTGTCTCTGACTATGTACTACACATTTCACGGAAGTTGAAGGTGCTTTTCTCCAGAGACAATTTGCATTTGCTTCTGCTAGGCACCAGCTTATTTCCATTCTAGGATTCCTTTTGACTAAAGCCACCACAGTTATCTCACCGTGCCTCCAAACCCAGGCTTAGCCCACATGCCGTGCTGTCCCATCTTACTTCTTAGAACTTTGTGACTCCACGACCTGAAGCTTCTGGAAGATCTCAGGTGGCAGGAACGGAGAGAGCTTCCCTCCCTCATCTGAGTACACCCGGCGGTGTCGACTAGCAGGGGAGGGCCCGGGCGCAGCCACAGGCCTCAGGCATGTTTTCCCTGTAAGATACACACAGCCAAGGACCCACATAGGGGCCCCACATTCCACAAAGGAGAGGCAGGCCAAGGCGGGGGGATGCCCCAAGAAAGCTTTCTGCTGGACACCTACCAAGCTTGCCAGCTGTTGACTGGGCCCTCTCCAGACACTGCTCTGCCAGCTTCAGCATCTTTGAGGTATCAGGGGTCACAGTTTCCCCAGCTTCTGGGGAGCAAGTGACAAAAAAGATGGTCACCATCCCCTCTGTCACTGATCAGATTCTTGCTGAGATACAAGCAAAGGTACCCCCCTTCCTTATTTTGGACTACTTGCCCTTTGTGTGGCTATCCTGTCCTTCTGCCTGGACCATCAGAGCTTTTTCTCTAACTAACCTGGCCTTTTCTCCCCATGGACAGCTTCACATGTACTTACAGCCCCTCCTCCAGGTGGGCCCTGCAGGCAGTGTGGCTGTTTCGCAGAGATCACTTCCTCACCCATCTCCAGGAGCCCCCCACCCCGCACCCTGCATCTCATGCATCCTGGGGGTGTCTGTTCTCTGCTCTGCACTCCCTCCTCCGGAATTGCTCCTGTCAGCAAACTCATGCTGGAGGAGCTGCCACCTGACAGTCTCCCATGGACCCCACCAGCCCCAACTCCTGACCCACCTCCTACTGCCTTCAGGGCCAGTCCCTCACTACACCCTAGTTCAGCCGCCAGATTTCCACTCATCCACTCACGTGCTGCCCTTCTCCAAGGATCCCTGACTCCTCATGGTCTTTCCTCTGGGACATCCCCTCAGGGCCACTCCCACTGTGCCCTCCTCCGTGTGCTTAAAGCTCTGCTGAGCTCCCCAGGGCGGTGCTCATTGTGGGGACGGCCACCTCTCTGACTATGTCAGGCTGCCATACGCTGGGAGCAGACCATGCCCATGATGGAGGCCTCAGCTCCTGCCACCTCCTGCTCCACCTCCAGAGCTCGCTGGCCCCCACCCCACCCCGGCACCTCACTGTCCCCTGAGAAAGTCTGCTAAGGCAGATCTTTAGAGAACATTCCCCAAGCTCTTCACTTGCCCACCTCCCGGCAGTCCCACCACTGCTGTCCCCATGGTGGGAACCTCCTGGAGGCTCTGCTGCCATGCTGGCCTCTGCCCACAAAGCATCCATTGAGCTTCTCCTCGTGCCAGGACAGCCCCAGGCCCACCCAAGGCCCTGCCTGCCCCAACTACACCTCCCTCTCTCCAGACTGCCTGTTTTGTATCTGGCACCCTCTTTGCTGCAGAGCCTCTGGGCTGCCCCCAGCCCCCAACCATCGTGTATCTCACTCCTCCCAGGACTGGGGTTCAGCATTCAGTCTGTGGTCGTGTCCCCACCCATCTCTGTCCCCCGAGTCACAGCAGCCGTCCCTTCCTGCTCCATGTCACACTCATGCGAGTGTTCAGGTGTTCACCTGCTAATGACCAAGCAGGTAGGACATGGGACACGCCCAGGTCTGGGGCCAGGAGACCCATCAAAGGCCAAGCTGTCCACGGTCTGGGCAGCACAGGAGAAGCTGTACCTTTAGTGGCCTCCACTTCTTCCAGCAGCACCTGGGAGATGTAGTGGATGCTCCTCAGGTATTCTGTATATGCCTCCTGTGCCCAGGGGAGAGAAATGACATAGATCATGTCATTAGAGGCAAATAATTCCATGATGTCTGCTTGTTGCCCTTTTGAAAACAGTAACCATGGTGCCTGCTTATCTCTGAGATACACCTTCATTATCCGAGCTGCTTAGCTGGTAACTGCTCTGCCTGGAGCACAGAGAATAACCCATTTTTCTAGACTTGAAGTTGGTGTCACTCCTTTCTCTCCAGCACAGAAAGGAATGGAGGTTCTCATTCAGTGGGTCAAGGAAGCAGCACTGGCGGGTGCTGCCATTTCCACTCTATGCAACAAGTTCTTTTCCTGTATAACTCAGGGGCCATTCATTAAATGGCTTTAAAGAATTATTTCCTGGGAGGTGAATCAGGAACTGTGTTGTAAATCTTAAAGAGTCACTTTCTGACTCAGTCTGGGAAAACCCTGGGCACGCAGGAGTCTATGCCACTAGAATGCTGGCATTTTCAAACGTGTGACCCTCCTGGTCAGGGGTGCCTGACAGAGCTCAGGGCGTTTTGAATGACAGCATGGGGCCTGCTTTTTGTTTGTTTCCTTGCATCCCAGTTCTCGTTATCCACCTTTAAGTCTACACTTCAGATAAAGATAAAATGGATTCCGGGAAGGATTTCTGACTTGTGGGGGCATTTGCTGCCCTAGCATAGCGACTTGGGAAAGGAAACGGATGGAAGACCTGAACGACTCTTCCCTTGGGCGGCCCAGAGTGGCTCCGCCGGCTTTTCCACGCGGTTGCAACCCTTAGGATTAACACCGGTTCTCAGAAACAAGCCGCACCCCTCCCCCGCCGGCACTTCCTACCAAACAAGCTCTGAAGGCGACTCGAAAGCCGCAGTTAACCTCTTCTGCGTACCGTCCCCTTTGGGAATCTGACCAAATCTACAGGGCCCGCCTCCAAACTACACAAACACACGGGACTGTCTGCCAGATACACTTTGGAGGGCTGCTTCATAGAATCTCCTGAGTCCCTTCACAAATAAAAACGCCTCGGCTCCAACCGAACAGCTAAACAGACGAGGGGGAAAAAAAAAAAAAAGATAGGGCGGGAGCTGTCCAAGGTCACGGCCCAAGCTGGAGCCGGCACCCCGGAGTCTTCAGAGAGGCCTGGAGGCGCCCTCCCGGCGGCCCCGCCCTCGCCCACGCCCACCAGGCCGGTCGCTGGTCGGCGACCGCCCCCGCCCCGCTCGGCTCTGCCCGCCTTACCCGGGGCCGGTTGCCGGTGTCCAGCTCGATGGCCCCGTTGGCCAGCTTCATGGCGCATTGCAGTGGCTTCACCGAGCCGTCCCCGGCCGCTGCGGCCATGGCGCCGGCGGGGGAGGCGGCGGCGGCGGCGGCGGCCGAGGGGCGGGGCGGCCGGCTTGGGGCCCGGAACGCAATATGTGGAGGAGCAGGTGCTGCCCGAGCCCAGGACCATAGGAAAAGGCGGTACCAGAAAGGGCCCACTTCCGGCAGCCCCGCCCCGTTGGCTCGCTACGCGCTCTGGTCCTGGGGCCGAAGGGGCGGAGGTGGGGGTGACGGAGCTCTCAGATAACCTCCTTACGCTGTAGCCAAGAGCGTGTAAGTGCAACTGCTGCTGCCCGCACTCCACGTCGGTGACAGACCGCGCCCCTTGCCCTCAAGCCGTGCTGCTCTGCCCTCCTCACTGCGCTCCTCCCCTCGTCAGTCTCCGCTCCTCCCTTCACACTCTCCTCTCCCTCCCCTCCGCTGGTCAGTCCGCCCCATCCAGGTCTCTTCATCCTCCTCCTTCCTCGCCCCGCCCCTCCTCTTCGCCTTGCTCCGCTTCCAGTAAGTCCAGCGGAGCCGAGCGGCGGAGTCGAACGGAAACGACCGAGCACAGTCCGCGTAGCGGATGAGAGGCTCTGGACGTCCTACCTCTCGGCCCAGCTAGCCAAGCGGGGCCGAGCGGTACCGAGCCGGGCCGGGCGGAGCCGAGTGGGGCGGAGCTGGGCCGGACGGAGCCGGGTGGGGCCGAGTTGGGCCGAGCCGGGTCTGACGGGGCGGAGCGCTGGGGCCGAGTTTAAGCCATCTCCACGGCTATGAAGCGGGACCGGCTCGGGCGCTTCCTGTCGCCCGCGGCGTCCCGGCAGCGCGGGAGCTCGGGCCGCGGCAGTTGTGGCGGAGGCCGGGCCCGGGGCCGCCCCGCCCGCAGCGGGCCCGACGTGGCCGAGGCGGCGGCCGTGGTGGCGGCGCGGCTGGGCTGGGGCCCGGCGCGGCCCTGCGGGGACGCGGGCGAGGACGGCGCAGACGAGGCAGGTGGGTCCGGCCGTCCGGTCGCGAGGGGCGGCGGGTGGGGCCCCTGTGACCGTAGAGTGCCCCCGGTGGCCACCGGGACCCCGCGGGACCCCCCCGGCCCAGGGTGTCTCCTCAGAAAGCGGACTAGGCCTCCCTGCTGGGAGGGGTGAGGTGGCCTCTCCGGGACGCCGCAGCTGCGCGGGGTGTTATTTTGCAACACAGCTGACCCATCGGCTCCCCTCAGAGCTCGCGGAGTAGTTTAGTGGTCGAGTCGTGCCGTCTGTCGGCCAGGCCTGGTTTCAGTCGTGGTTTTGCGCTGTGCTTTTCGGATAATGGCTGAATCTCTCAGGGCCTCAGCTTCCTCTTCGCTAAAACAGAACTGAGGATTAGGCAAAGGAATGCCCGCCCCCCCCCGACAGACTGTATGGGGGTTAATATGCACTTGGTCTTAGTGTCATGCTTTTGCCCCCTCAGAAAGGACTTCAAGCTGCTCTTCTATAATCCCGGGGCAGAGAGGCAGGGGCATCGTCTACTCCTGCAGTCAGGAGCAGAGACCCCCGGGAAAGCAGTGTGTGGACGCGATTCCTTCGCTTCTGGTCCCAGGGGAGTGGTGTGAAGAGGAATGAAGTTTCCAGCTCAGTTTATGACGGTTCTATAGCTGTGGAGGCATTTATATACTCAAAACTTTTTTTTTTTTTTTGAGAAAAAAATTTGATGTATAGTTGGCACATAACATGATGTTGGTTTTAGGCATACTAGCTAACATCCATCACCACTCGAAGTTAGCAGTCTTTTTCCCTTGTGATAAGAACTTTTAGGATCAACTTTTAAGAGCTCTTAGCAATTTTCAGATATACAGATAAGTATTATGTTGTGGTAACTGTAGTTACCATACGGTAGACGATGTCACCAGGACGTACTTTATAACTGGAAGTTTGCACCTTTTCATCACTGCAACCGCATTTCACTCAGGACCTCACTCCCCTTCTTTCAACCAACAATATCTTTAATGTAATTATTAGTTCATGATTTTCTCTTTTTGTAGATTCCACATGTTAGTAACGTCATATGGTATTTATTCTACTCCATCTGACTGATTTCACTTAGTATGATGCTGATAATGTCCACCTTTGTCGTTGGAAATGGCAAAATTTTTCTTGCTTTTTAATAGCTGAGTAAATAGTCTATTGGGTATATATACCACAGTTTCTTTATACATTCATACATTGATAGACACCTTGGGTATTATAGATAATGCTGCAATGTATATAGGGGTGCATGCATGTACCTTTTCAAGTTAGTGTTTTTTATTTCCTTAGGATAAATACTGAGCAGTGGAATTGCTGGACTGCATAGTAGTTTTATTTTTAATTTTTTGAGGAACCTCTATGCTGTTTTCAATAGTGGCTGCACCAAGTTACATTCTCACTAACAGTGTACAAGTATTCCCTTTTCTGCACATCCTTACCAACACTTGTAATTACTTGTCTTTTTGGTGATGGCCATTCTGATAGGTGGGAGGTAAATGTCTCATTGTGGGATTTTTTTTTTTCCTCATTGTAGTTTTGATTTGCATTTTCCTCATGAAGTAATGTTGACCACCTTTTCATACACCTGTTGGTTATCTGCACGCCTTCTTTAGAAAGAGGTCTCTTTAGAGCCTTTGCTCATTTTAAAAATCAGATTATTTTTGTTATTGAGTTGTATGAGTTCTTTACATATTTTGGTTATTAATCCCCTATGTGATACATAACTGGTGAGTATTTTTTCCTATTCAGTAGGTTGCCTTTTCATTTTGTTGATGGTTTTCTTTGCTGTGCAGAAACTTTTTAGTTTGACATAGTCCCATTTATTTATTTTTGCCTTTGTTACCTTTGCTTTTGGTGTCAATCCAAAAAATCATCTCCAAGACCAATGTCAGGGAGCTAACCATTATGTTTTGTTACATGGAAGGAGTTTTATGGTCTTTCAGGTCTTTAATCCATTTTGAGTTGAGTATGGTATAAGATGGTCTAGTTTCATTCTTTTGCATGTGGCTGTCTCAACACCATTTTCTCAACACCATTTGTTGAAGAGACTGTCCTTTCCCCATTGTATCTTGGCTTATTTGTTGTAGATTAATTGCCTATATATACATGAGTTTATTTCTGTACTGTCTATTCTGTTTCATTAGCTTATGTGTTAATTTTTTTTAATTAAAAATATTTATTTAGCTGTGTTGGGTCTTAGTTGTGGCATACAGGATCTTTGATCTTTGTTGCAGTATGTGGGATCTTTAGTTGTGGCAAGTTCCCTGACCAGGGGTTGAATCTTGGCCCCTTATAATGGGAACGCGGAGTCTTAGCCACTGGACCATCAGTGAAGTCCCTTTATGTGCCTCTGTTTATGCCAGTACTGTACTGTTTTAATTATTGTAGCTTGGTGGTATAGTTTGAAATCAGGAAGCATGATGCCTTCAACTTTGTGGAGCTTTCTCAGAATTGCTTTGGCTGTTCAGCATCTTTATTGGTTTCATATAAATTTTAAGATTTTTCTATTTTTGTGAAAAATACCAACGAGATTTTGATAGAAGTTGTTTTGAATTTGTAGGTGACTTTGGGGAGTGTAGACATTTTAACACTGTCTTGTTAATTAATGTCAATTGTCTTATTATTTTATGTCAATTAATTATTCCAACCCATGATCATGGACTACTTATTTGTGGTTTCAATTTTTTTTGTCAGTGTCTTATAGGTGTCAGTGAACAGGTCTTTCTTCTCTTTGGTTATATTTATTCATAGGTATTTTATTCTTTTTGATACAATTGTAAATCTGATTCTTTTCTTAATTTATAATAGTTTGTTAATCGTGTATGGAAATCAACTTATGTTTGTATATTGATTTTGTATTCTATAACTGAACTTGTTTATTCTAACAGTTTTTTTGGTGGAGTCTTATAGAATTTTCTGTATGTAATATTATACACAAACCGATTGTCTTGCTTCTGTCTGTATGATTTGGGTGGTTTTTATTTTTCTTGCCTAATTGCTTTGGCCAGAATGTCCAGTACTGTGTTGAATAAAAATGGTGAGAGTGGGCATCTTTGTTTTGTTCCTGATCTTAGAAGACAGCTTTTAGCTCTTTACCATTGAGTATGATGTTAGCTCGGGGCTTGTCGTGTATGGCTCTTATTATGTGGTGGTATTTTCTATCTGTATACAGTTTATTGAGGTTTTTTATCATGAATGGATATTGAATTTTATCCACTACTTTTTCTCCATTTATTGAGAGGAGTATGATTTTTATTTTGTTAATGTGTGTCACATGAATTGATTTGGGAAGGTTGAGCCATCCTTGCCTCCCTGGAATACATTTCAGCTGATCATTGTGCATGATCTTTTTAATTAAGTGTTGAGTTCAGTTTGCTGTTATTTTGTTGAAGACTTGTACATCTATGTTTATTAAAAATAAATATTATTTTCTTTCCTTGTTGTGTCTTTGTCTGGTTTTAGTATTAGAGCAATACTGGCTTTGTTTGGAGGCATTTAGAGTTCTTTGAAAGGATTTTCCACTCAGAAGACCCTCCACTGGCCATTCTCCCAAAAGACTGTGTGTTCATCTGGGAGCCTGGAGCCAGAGCCCTGCCTCTGGCCCAGACATGGACTTGTGTTTAAGGGGCATGTCTGAGGAGGTCCCACTCCAGGAGTTGGTGGGGAGTGGGGGTGGGGTCTGGTGGAGTGTGGATCTCACCTCTTCTGGGAGCTGTGTTCTGCATGCCTGACTTCATGTTTCCTGTGCTTGCCCAGGAACTGCCCGGGCCCTGGCCATGGGGCACTGTCGCCTTTGTCATGGGAAGTTCTCCTCCCGGAGTCTCCGCAGCATCTCCGGCAGGGCGCCTGGGGAGAGCTCAGAAAGGCCACCCCCTGGGGACCGTGTTTTCATCCGAGATTTTCAGCGCCTCCTGGGCGTGGCTGTCCACCAGGACCCAGCTCTGTCCCAGTTTGTCTGCAAGAACTGCCATGCCCAGTTCTACCAGTGCCACGGCCTCCTCACATCTTTCCTGCAGCGAGTCAATGTTCCCCCGACAGGCCGCCGGAAGCCTTGCACAAAGTAGGAGCCCCTTTCCTCCTTTGCTGGGGGCGTGCAGGAGACCGTGTGAACAGGGCTGCGTGGGCACAGGGCAGCCCGGGTGCCTGGTGAGGCAGACACTCATAAACAGCAGCCACTGGGTGTGTGGGGAGGCTGACAGGAGAGCACAGGGCAGGGAGGGCCTGGTGGGTGGCCTTGGAGGGAAAGGCTCAGCCTGCACACTCAGTGGCCACTGGGCCCCATGCTTGTCTTGGTGAGCAACTCTGCTCCTTTGCAGGGTCGGTGTCCAGCCACGGATGGGGCCGGAGGAGGGAGCGTGTGTGGGTGAGTGCGCCCCCAGTGTGGGGTTGCAAGGTGGGTGGGAGGTGGGGGGACCCAGATGCTGATTGGCCACGGGCTGGCGTCTCTCTGCCTTTCCTCAGTGGACCTGATTGCTTCGAACCCCCAGGGCCTGCGTGGCTTGGTGGGGTGGGTGCACAGACACGCGGCCGGCTGCGGGGCCCTACCTAGCCTCCAGAGGACGCTGTCCTCCGAGTACTGTGGTGTCATCCGGGCCGTGTGGGGCTGCGACCAGGGCCATGACTACACCATGAACGCCGACTCCAGCTGCGGGGCCCTCTTGCTGGACAGCGCTTTGGGTGTCAAGTGGACGTGGGACAAGGATTCAGCCCCACGACTCCCCCAGCATCGGGGGTTCAGCCCCACCGGGGCTGCCCCTCAGAGCTCCCAAAGCAGAGCAGCTGCGGCTGGGGCTGAGACCGAGACACTCCCCAGCATGGGCACAAGCCGGCTTCCTTCAGATGGTGACCCAGTGGGACCGGGGCCGGGACCCCCGTCTCAGCCAAGCCTCCCCCAAGGTGGGACCCCAGGTAGGCGGCTCCTCTGGGCTATTTGACCAGTATTCCTGGTCCTGAGCCAGGCAGGGTCCTTGGCAGGAAGTGGGTGTTGTGGTGGTAGCAGTGGTATCGTGCGTAGAGGGGCCAGTATAGTGACCAGGGCAGCCCTGGCACCGCCTCGTGCATGTCTGACGGCAGAGGGGGTGACCCCGCTTGAGCGCCTTCCTTCAAGGTATGCTCCCCTGCCATCCAGGCTTCCTCCAAGCCTGCTTGGGGCCAGGGCACAGAGGGAGGAAGAACCCGGGCCTTCGTGGGGCATGAAGGCAACTGGGATCAGGGGTTGTCCCTAGCCAGTGCAGGTCACTCCCTGGGCCTGTCAGTGCCCTGATCCCGTGGCCCTGTGTGTTGGGTGCAGCTGTTCGCCAACATGGTATTAGGAGGGCTGGACCGGCTTCCTACCCATGTCTCTCAGTTTCCATGTGGGTGCCAGGCTGCTCCTGCGAGTAGATGTTCAGCCACCAGATGGTTCAGAGTGATGCGGTGCTCATGCTGAAGGGCTTCACGGTTCTTAGAACTGCTTGGATTTTTGAACTGTGTGCCTGCGGTACTTGGATACCAGTGATCTTTTTCGATGTTCTGAAACATCCCAGAGTGACTGGATCTGAACGTCTGGGGCAGGGCTGGATTTGCTGCTGTTGCTACTGTTGGCAGGACATGAGGGTGGCATGGTGGGCTTGGCTGTGCAGTGGCCTTGGGGGGGCCAGGAGGTGAGTGGATTTGGAGGCATGGGAGCCCTAGGCGCCCTGTCATGCCTGTGGGGAGGACTACCGTGCTGTTCCCCTGGGGTAACAGGTGACTGGAGTCTTGTTCTTTGTTTCCCAGGGCAATTGGGTGAGAAGCAGGTTCCATCTCCAACCTCGGATGATCGGGTAAAAGACGAGTTCAGTGACCTTTCTGAGGGGTGAGAGAAGAGTGGGTTTACATAGCCTAACATTCCTCCTTGGCAACCCAACGCCACCATCCCAGGGGCTGAGGCCTGGCTCTTGCTGGCCTCCCCCTTTCTCTGTTGGGAGGAGGGCAGTGGCAGGGGGTGCTTAACAGGCTTCCTTTTTTGATTGGGGGCACTTTGGACCTGATGGAGCTGCATGGGAGGACCAGCCAGGTGTGGACATCACTCTGTTCAGATGGTCCTCTGGTTGCTGGCTCGTCTCCACCTCCAAGGCTGAGTTTTATGCCAACCCCAGATGTTACTAGAACAGAAGCCAGCCTCTGGCTGTTTATCATGGTGTTTGTGATGTGGAGTGGACGACAAACCTAGAGGCAGGCAAGACCACCTGTCTGCTCCTGGGCCCCACCCCCTTCCTGGTCTCCAAGACCAAATCTCTCGGGGTGGAGGCCGCACTCCAGCCGACCTTTCCACCCTGCCTTGTGCGCTGTGGCTGGACCACAGATGCACTTTGTCCACACAAGTAGAATGACAGCGTGATTTTTGGTGCCAGTGACAGATGACCTAGATGCTGGAGGAGAACCAGTGGGTGCCAGAAATCCACCCCCCACCCCGGGTCAGGAGGCTGTGGCTGTCCTACAGCCACCAGCCATCCTTGGGCCTTTCTCTGTGGGGAGGGTGGCAGCCTGTAGGGGCGGCTGAGGCATGCCAGCCAGGCTCTGTCTGTAGACTAACAGAGCTAATGTGACTCACGTTTTAGGGTAGAGTTTACAGACGTGCAGATCTTTTTCAGGCCTTTGTTACTCTTTGAAATCACTGACAGCTCTCCTGTCATTTGGGTAGGTGTTTATAGTTACGGGATTGAGGTGACATTCTAAAAGCCCACTTAGTGCGAAGCCACCTCTTGTGAGGGTCTTCATCTCTGCCTGGCGCCTCGTAGGCTGACTTTCTGAGTTTGGGGTTCTGGTGTGATGAGAGGCATGGCTTACCGGGGATCCTCAGCCTGTGACCCTGGTTTGCTCTTTCTGTTAGGAGATGGTATTAGAGGATTGGGGATTTTAGGCCTTCTGAGAAGTAAAGCATGTAGTGTGGGGATCCACATGGTGTTAGACAGGAAGTTTCACTGCCTCCATCACCTGCCCCAGAGCGTTGCTGAAGGTTCTCTTCTTTCCTAGAGATTTCCTGAGTGAAGATGAAAATGACAAGAAGCAGAACACCCAGTCCTCGGATGAGTCCTTTGAGCCGTACCCAGGAAAGAAGTAAGGGAATGGTGGTGCCATGAGCTCCCTGGGTTTGGGGGTGTCCAGTGGGTGACCTGGAGACCTGCATCTGCCCTGAGGGCAGCAGGGACCAGATGGTGGCTTGCCCGTGTCTGCCTTGGTCAGCACACACTTTGCTTCTCTGATGACCTGACCTTACCAACCCAGTGAAGGGTGGCTTCTCGGTGACCCAGGAGGACTTTCCCAGTTCAGCGCAGGGACCTGGCCTAGCGCAGACCTGTGAATGTGACTCAGCCACTCACCCATGTCTGCTCTGGTGGCCTCTGATTCCCCCTGCTCGCCTTCTGCCTTCTGCGCCCAGGGCCTTGGCAATATGACCACCTGGCCCTGCAGTTGCTCTCGGGTCTACCTTTGGCCCTGTTCCCTTGTTGAGGCAGCCCACCTCCCACAGGGTTTTGTGTCCTTGCTCCGTGGATCCTGGCAGGAGGAGCCTGCTTATCACTGTGTTACCTGGGGCCCAGGAACACCGAAACATCTCCAGTTAGTAGATGCCCAGCTTGGGCTTCTGACATAGAATGAAACCACACCATCAGCCAGGAAAGCGCAAAACAAAATGGAGAAGCAGACACAACTTCCTTTTCCCTTGTGGGTGGAGACGAGAGGCAGTGGCTCGGGAGTCCCCAGTTGGGATGTGGGGCTGGGTCACAGCCCTCGAACAGGCCTGAATGGACAGACGCTGCTGGGCCAGAGGGGGCATCAGGAGGGCCAAGTTGGAGGGACCAGGTCTGCTGCAGCAGGAGCCCTTGCTCTCCACCCTGATCTCCATGAGCCCACCTCTTATGTCCTGCTGCCAGCAGTCCTAGGGCGACTGGCGTGGGGTTAGGAGAGGGAAAGTCCCTGCCCTGCTCCAGGTGGAGATGGCACGCAGGCAGCCCCTCCTTTCCTGGGTTTCCGGGAGGGCGCACAGACACGTGCTATAGGCCAGGACACACCAGGTGTGTGTTCAGAAAGAAAGTGAACTCGCTCAGTCATGTCTGGCTCTTTGCAACCCCATGGACTGCAGCCTGCCAGGCTCCTCCATCCATGGGATTTTCCAGGCAAGAGTACTGGAGTGGGTTGCCATTTCCTTCTCCAGGGGATCTTCCCAACCCAGGGATTGAACCCAGGTCTCCCGCATTGCAGGCAGACGCTTTAACCTCTGAGCCACCAGGGAAGCTGCAATGTGTTCAGAGGCTGTGGTCAAATGGAACATTTTAGTGGAAGTTGTGCCTGTGGGAGGCTGGAGCCCTGGGCTCTTCCCTGATGGCCTCTTGGTGCGTCCGGCACCACAACACGAATGCCTGCTGACGTCCTAGGATGTGGCCTAGGTCCATATGACCTTGCAGCAGACGTGCCTGTCGAGGTCCTCAGCCACACAGACAGGAGGGGACACCAGCTGCCAGGGTTCCCACGGGAGCCTGAGCGGCCACGGGGAGGTAAAGCACCAGCAGCCCCAAGTTGGGCCTGTGAGCGCCATCCTCCCACACCTGCAGGGACCCCAGCCCCTTGTCCTTCAGGGACGCACTGGGAGACCTGGAGGCTGCTCCTGCTCTCAAGGAACATGTGATTTGGTGCGAGCAGCGGGCATAGCTCAGCTCTCACTGGGTGCCTGAGCCGCACAGCAGCGGAGGGTGGAAGCCAGGACCATGGCCGGGTGGCAAAGAATAGTCTTAGACAAGGAAGGGGAGGAGCAGCCTGTGCAGTTGTTGAAAAGGTTCTTGTTAATATACTGTTTGAAGAGGAAAACAACTGTTCATGCTTTTATTTGTGGTAAATTAATACACAACAAAGGTTACTGTTTTACCATTTTTTAAGTGTACAGTTCAGTCGCATTTCAGAACTTTGACAATGTTGTGCAACCGTCAGCACTGTTTCCAGACTTTGTCCATCCCACACGCACTCTCATGAAGCAGTGACTTCCGCCCCTCAGGCCCTGCCCACTTCTAGTGTACCTATCCATTCTGGGGACTCTGTGTGTCCATTTGCTACTGGCTTCTTTCACTCAGAATAGGGTTTTGAGATTCTTCCATGCTGTGACCTGTCAGTTTGATTCCTTTCTATAAGATTCTATTAAAGGGACTTCCCTAGTGGTATAGTGGTTAGGATGCCACGTTTCTACTGCTGGGGACATAGGTTTGATCCCTGGTCGGGTTGCCATGCAGCACAGCCATGGTAGGGAGGTACCACATTTTGGCTGCTGTCAGTAGTTCTAGAAAGGTTGGTGTAACAATTATGTTTGAGACCTCGTTTTGATTCTTTGGGTCCTGTGGTACTTTTAACTTTCTGAGGAACTGCCATAGTTTTCTACAGCAGCTGCACATTCTACATTTCCTGCTGCCAATGTGCAGGGGTTCTGATTTCTATATATCCTCACCAAACCTTGTTATTTTAGGTCCTGCTAGTGGATGTTAAGTAGTATCTCATTGTCATTTTGATTTGCATTTCCCTAGTGATAGTGATGTTGAGTGGCTTTTCATGTTTGTATCATCTTTGGAGAAATGTCTGTCGAAGTTCTTTGCCTATGTTTTAACTAAGTAGTTTGTTTTGCCACTGAATTGTAGAATATATTTCCCCTTTTTTCACTGAAGTCTAGTGTTCTATTTTTACTTTTTTAGTTTACTGTGCTTTTGGTGTCATATTCAGGAGAAACCATTACCAAGTCTAAAGTCATGGAAGATTTACCCATAAGAGTTTCACAGTTTTCACTTAGATTTAGGTCTTTGATACATTTGAGTTATTTCTGTGTATGGTATGAGGTATAGATCGAGCCCCACTCTTTTGCATGTGGATATGTGGTTGTCCCAGCACCTTTTGTTGAAAAGACTGTCCTTTCCCTAGTGAGTGGTCTTGGCATCTTTGTCAAAAGTCAGTTGATTGTACTTGCAGGGGGTTATTTCTGGTCTCTCAGTTCCTCAGTATGTATGTCTATCCTTATGCCAGTACCACGCTGCTTTGATTACTGTAGCTTTGTAGTAAGTTTTGGAATCAGGAAGTGAATCCTTCAGCTTTATTGTCTTTCAAAGTTGTGTGGCTATTCAGTGTCCTTTGAAATTCCATGTGAAACTTAGGATTTTTTTTCTACTTTGTAAAAAAACACAGAATTTTCATAGGGATTGAATGTAAACATTTAAAGTTTACTTCTAAACATCTTATTTCTTTTGATGCTATTAAAAATGAATAGTTTTCTTAATTTCCTTTTTTGGACTGTTCATTTTTAGTGTGTAGGAACAGGACTGGGTTTTAATGTGTTCATTTTTCCACCCTGCAACTTTGCTCAATTTTTATGTGTAGCTTTTTTTCCTACATATAACATCATGGCATCATGACTAGAGGCAATTTTCTTTCCTGTTAATTTAGATGCCTTTTCTTTTTCTTTGCCTAACGGCTCTGGCTGGGACTTTCAGTACTATGTCGAGAAATGGTGAAAGTGGGCCATCTCTTGTCTTGCTCCTGATACTAGAGGAAAAGCTTTCAGTCGTTGACCATCGAGGATTGTGTCAGCAGTGGCTTGTCATTATGGTCCTAGAAGTTGCCTTCTGTTCCTGACAGATTTCCTTACATTCCTAGATCTAAGAAAAGGTGTGCATGTCTCTTTAAGACTTTGAAGAACACCAAGGGGGAAGCTGCTCTGTCTGGCCTGGTCGTCAGGGCCCCGTGAGACTAGCTGAGGTGCCCACTGCCTAGGGTCTGCAGTGGGGAGACAGCAGCGAATGTGGAGCTCCCCCCTGGTTGCTGGGGGTCTCCTGGCAGGTTCCAGGATAGTGGATCTGGATCTTCTTTCTAGCTTCCCCAACTCCACGATTTTCCCTGGTGTCTCCAAAGTTGTGTTTTTGGTGTTGACGACAGGGAGTGATACTTGGCCCTGAAGGCCCACTCCTGGGTCATGAGGTGGCTGAGCAGGGCCTCCACTTCCCCGCGGAGTCTTTCTAGCTCTGGTGGCCAAGCGTTAGTGTGAAGGTCAGGTGGTCAGCATGGGGACTGGAGGTTAGCCCTGGAGATCCGAGGAAACCACCTCAGTGTTTAAAGAAAAATGTACACCGCGTATGCAAAAAGATCAGAAACATTACTGACCAGTGTTGTCTTTTCCTCCAGGGTGTCTGGTAGGAAAAGTGAAAGCAAAGAAGCCAAGAAGTCAGAAGAACCAAAAATCCGAAAGAAACCTGGACCCAAGCCGGGCTGGAAGGGCAAGCCGCGGTGTGAGAGGTGAGGGGCTGGAGCGGGGGTTGCACAGCCTATGGGGGCCATGGTTCCATGTGTGCTCTGCATTGCAGGGAGGAACTGCCCACCATCTACAAGTGTCCGCACCAGGGCTGCACGGCCGTGTACCGCGGGGCCGACGGCATGAAGGTGAGGGGGCTCCCAGGAGAGTGTACCCCCAGCTCTGCTGACAGGGCCTAGTTGGGTCTGTGCCTTCGTGGGGAGAAGGCCTGTGCGCTGCTTGGGGGTGTTGGCTGGACTGGGGGACTCACACCCCCGGTCCCTCTCACAGAAGCATGTCAAGGAGCACCACGAGGAGGTCCGGGAGAGGCCCTGCCCACACCCCGGCTGCAACAAGGTGTTCATGATTGACCGCTACCTGCAGCGCCACGTCAAGCTCATCCACACAGGTGTGTCCCCTCCCCTGCTCCCTGCAGATGGGGCTCTGGGGAACTGACACTGAAGAAACTCTGGCGCTGTCCTGTGTCTATTGTGGTCTGTTTTTACATCATTGTGTGTATTCGTTGCTTAGTCATGTCCAACTCTTTGTGACCCCATGAACTGTAGCCCACCAGGCTCCTTTGTCCATGGGATTCTCCAGGCAAGAGTACTAGAGTGGGTTGCCATTTTCTTCTCCATTTACATCATTAGTGGAAGAAAATGATATATGCTTTTCAGATTATAGAAGTGACCTAAACTCATGGTAGCAACTGGTGGGAAAAGTATAGGTAAAGTGGTGCCCCAGTGATCACTGCCATCAGCATGTGAGGTTACTACCCCTTCTCTCTGAACATGTGTCCATGACCTTGGACTCATGTGTGCCTATGCTTGTCATTGCTGGTTCTGCCCAGAAGGCAGCTCTCCCGACCTGCAGCCCCTACATCCAGATAGTCCATTCTAAACGATACTTTTCCTCTGTTGACCTCTGTACAAATGATTGACTTCTTCACTCTGATTTGCCCACTTAATAGCTGGCTCACAGTCCCTCGGTTTCACAGCATTTCATGCTGTGAGTGTTCTTGTCCATTACTCCTGACACAGTAATTCCCTGGTCAAGGGTCAAGCCGTTGTAACTCAGTCTGACCACAGTCATCGTGACCACGAGAAGTTTTTATTTTCAGCACAGAACAGTCTAGACCTCACACTGTCAGGATGATTGCTCCTAGTCAGGGAGGAGCCTGCCTGTGCAGCTGCATCAGGTGCTGGTAGATGCTCAGTGATGTAGGAAAGAAGCATGTGGTGGTGCCCCAGGTGCATGGCTGGGGGTGTGACGTTAAAGTTTTGTTGAAAAGCTCTTTTAAGACTGACTTCCACAGTGGGTACCCCAGTGGTGGGCCCAGCATGGGCAGTCCCTAGAGTAGCAGTAGCTGTAATCAGTCATCTGTGAAACTGCACTGATTAGGCTTCCTCTAAGAATTGGGGCTCCAGAAAATAGGAGGTTTAGGGAAACATGCTACAGCCAGGTGACGTGGGTCATAGCTGTGTCACCTGTGAGTTAGGTGCTCGGGCACTGAGTGGACAGTGTCAGGGCCTGTGGTCACTCCTTATCTGGTCCCCAGAGGTGCGGAACTACATCTGCGATGAGTGTGGACAGACCTTCAAGCAGCGGAAGCACCTCCTGGTCCATCAGATGCGCCACTCTGGAGCTAAGCCTCTGCAGTAAGTCGGGGGTGGTGGCCCTCCCGCTGGCAGCACCCTGGCCCTGGCTCACTGCCCCCATCCCATAGGTGTGAGGTCTGCGGGTTCCAGTGCCGGCAGCGGGCATCCCTGAAGTACCACATGACCAAGCACAAGGCTGAGACGGAGCTGGACTTTGCCTGTGACCAGTGTGGCCGGCGGTTTGAGAAGGCACACAACCTCAACGTGCACATGTCCATGGTGCACCCGCTGACGCAGACCCCAGACCAGGCCCCGGAGGCCCCACCCAGGCCCGCAGCAGGGCAGGTGGTGAAGGCTGAGCCCACCTGAGGGCCTGCCCGCCCTGAGGTCAGGGGTGGTGACTGAACTTCAGGCCTGTGGGCAGAGTGGTGTCCTGACGCACCCCCACTATGTGTGCTGGGTGATGATGGTTCAGTCCATGGCTTGCGGGGTCTTGTGGCCTCTGCTCTGGGACCAGCAGTTTCTTCTCCTATAAGCAGAGTAACTTGGGACAGATGCAGATTTTTTAGAGAACTGATTCCTCTTCCCCACTAAAGCAATTGAGATTTGTAACCCACTTTTCAGGGCAACAAGAGCTCCATGTTATGCTTGTAATAAATTATTTACCGAGGAGCTGGGCAGTGCCCTGTGCAGATCGGGTCAGAAGACCTGGGGCTCCTAGGAGAGAGAAGGATCCAGCACAGCCTGCCGCCTGCTCAGGAGAGCAGCACTCACTTCTGGGTCACAATCTTCACTCACAGCCAGCAGCTGCAACAAAGCCCACATGCTGGACCCATGCTACCCGCTGTCCCTCCCAGGCCTGGATGCTGGATGCCAACTTTCCCCAAGGCGTCCAGCATCCTCATGTCACACAGTGACATGGACCTAAACACAGACACAATGGTGAGCACCTGGGTGTTACCTCTGCCACGTGCAAGAAGCTCCTTTCTGGGCACCGAGGTATCAATTGCAGCAGAAAGAGACGGGCGTTTGTTATCAGGCTTACGGGGTCGCCCTGGAAAGAAGATGGGCAGAGCCAAGGTCAGGATCCCCACAGCTGTGAACTGTGCCAGGAGCGTCACCCCGGTCTGTCTGGAGATGGGCCTGGCCCTGCACCTGCCTGGGTCGGGAGCTCCCCACCACGGGCCACAGTCCAGACTGCACCAGTTTCCCCGGCCACAAAGAGGCCAACAAGCTTCAGGTACATATTGAGAGCAACGTGCAGGAAGGCATCTTCTGTGAGGAGGGCATCCTTGTCAAAGTAGGGAAGGAGGCTAAAAGGCAGACACAGGTGTCAGGTGACCTGACCTCATACGTCTGAGGCTGGTGGCAGGCAGCAGGGGCGCAGCCTCTCTGTCTTGAGGGACCCCTGCTGTCCCTCCCCTGACCTTCAGGTCCTGAGGGTTACCTGTAGAAGGCGACTGGCAGCAGCCTGATCTGGTGGTCGGGGGCCAGGCCGAGGAGGGTGCGCCCCAAGGGGACATCTGCAAAACCGAGGGGCTTGTCAGCAGTGCGGGGGCCTCCCATAGGGTCAGGGTCTCCAGGAATCGTGTGCGTGCTGACCCAGGGGCAGTGACCTCACGCCACTGACTAGGAGGTGGGGGCCGGGTCCCTGAAATCCCAGGGCTCCACTAAATTATTAAGTGAGTCTGCATACTTAAGCAAGAACAAAAAGTTGCAAAAACGAATTTTTAAAGTGAGCCCCAAGGAAGGCTCCTGTGTAACCATTTGAAAGTTGCTTCTGAAGAGAAGGACTAAAGAGTTGGCTGAAGTCTGACCTGCTCCTGGCAGAGGGCTGGGGGCCAGCACAGACATGGCTGGCAGCCTCTGGATTTCTCACCCGCCTCCGTCAGCTGAAAGACCAGCAGCCAGGAAATCCTCCTCCTCTGCAGACACCCCAAGATCTCCGCACAGATGTCCAGAGCCTTCAGGGAGCTAACAGCCTGTGACCCACAGAAGAACAGGAGAACTCAAAGATGACACCGGACAAGGAGGGGGTGTCTACCTGGGGCCCTGCACAGACCCTCAGGGTGCAGGGTCTGAAGGGAGACCCCACAGGGCAGGCCCGTGGCCTGGGGTTTTCTCTCCTGAGAAAGCTTTTGCCCCAAAGGTATCACGCCTCCCCTGCTCAAGAGACCTAACTTAAGAGGTCTGCAGGGAAATGGGGATCCATGGTTTCATGCGCCCTGAGGGCAGGGGCTCACCAACCTGTCCAATGTGGGAGAGGGTCTGACTTACCTGTGGAATCAGATATAAAGACAGCAGGCCCATCAAGGAAAAGAAAAACAGGGAAACAAATAGCTACAAATAAAAAAACATCCACTCACAACATAAGACTACCTGTATTCTGTTCCCTGAGAGTAACTATTAAGTAAAAAACATTCCTCACTAATTGAGCATTTTACAGACCTAGGTTAGAAATCTTTAGGGGGATCTTCACAGGAATAAAATTTCCAGTTGCTCTTAAGACAATTTAATGGGTTATAAACAATTACTGCTTGGGGACCCATCTCTGTGGGTCTGTAAGGGGACAGTGGTCTAGAAGATACGAAGCCACTGAAAGCCTTCCAAATTTTACAGCCTGAAAAGTCTAAAAACAGATGCTCCCTGGGACTCTGTTACTTGAAATTATAATCACTCAAACCCCACAGCTCAGCGGTTGTCAGGCAGGTGTGTACAACCTGAGCTGCTGGGGCGCTCTGGGTTTTAGAGAACCAGGGGTTCAGCTGGGTGCACCATGGCAGCTCCCAGTAGGGACACCAGCCTGCCCTCCGAGCAGCCCTCCATCCAGTCCTGGTCTCAGCGAGCAGCTGAATGGGGTGCAGGTACCTTGATGGGTGTCAGTCAACCCTAACCACCCCCACCCAGGGATTATGGAGAGGATAAACAGGTCAAATAAAAGCAGCTGGGAGTTAACCTGAGAGTAAGTCTTATCAAACCTATACACCCAGGAAGGTTTACTTCCAAATAAAGTCACAAGGACCCCAAACACTTGTCTGTTCTTGAAAAGCACAGTGTTGTTAGATGACCCTGAGAAGGTGAGCTTGCAGGAAGAGGGTGTCATCCTTGCCTCCTCTCCTTGGCCATCCAGCTTCCCCAGCTCCTGCCATATGCTCTCCTTCCCGGCCCGTTGAATCACAAAGTGCAGGGCAGCTGCGCAGAGCCAGGACGGCCCAGGTGCAGGGGATGGTGTGAGCGGGGAGGAGACACTGCGCAGACAAGAGGAGTGTGTCACTACAGGAACCCCCGCCCCAACCTGGCTCTGCACAGACTGGTCCTATGCCCTGGACACAGGAAGCGGTGCAGCTTGCAGGGGGTCTCAGCTTTGACAGGAGGGTGTGGAACACAGGGTCGCCTGGAACCCTTCCCCCAACCCCCAGACCCCAGAATCTGCACCAGCCTCCCACACAACCCCTCCTCCAATTGCACTGTGATGTTCAAGGTCCTTCAGCAGGCTGAAATGGCCAAAAGTGAAAAACAGAATACAGTGCATTGATTTAAGAAACTTTCCTGCTCTCTATACAATTAGAGTCAATGGGCAAACTGGCTTTCCTTGTTTTCTGAGGTTTCCAGCATCCCTGACTCTGGGGGTGCCTGAGGGATGGAAATGGTCACAGAGGAAAATGTAAGGAGGCTGGAGGGGACCAGTGATCCTCTCAGTGACGTCTAGGAGGGCATCCACGGGGAAGTAAGAGGAGACGGGCAAGTGAACCCTGCACCTTGCAGGGCCTGTCCAGAGGCCTCTCCGGCTCCTGAGATGCCGGGCAGGTCAATGAGAGCATGCGACCATACTCACCTCTCAGCGAAGAGGTGGGCCTCCTGCAGCTTCTGCAGCTCTGCAGGCAGCGGGCTCTGGGACCACCTCCTCCACCGGCAGTGCAGCTCGGGCTCCAGGCTCGACCACCACAGCTCATGGGAGAGAACGGGCACTGAGAGTCATTCCCCCCCACCACGACGCTTTGGAGATCTCAGCGACCCCGACCATCTGGGTAGGACATATCCACCTGCTGAGTGGGCTGACACCCACTCCCCCGAGCCTGGCTCTACTCATCTAGTGCTTCTAACTACAAAGACAGTGTCTCATCTATGGCCCAACACAGCTCATCCTCAGAGGACACATGGTTGCCCAGGGAGCTCAGTGGGGGACATGCTGCTCTGAAAGAATGGGGCTGTGTCCTCCCTCCTGACAAAAGGAGAAGTGGTGAGAAAGCCCACAAGCGAGCCCCCCATCTGAGGAACTTCAGAACACCATGCAGGGGCCGGGCTACAAGGGCTGAGCCGGCAGCTTCAGCCCAGAGCAGTGTGCGTGACTCCTGTTGCTGGCTCTGGCGTGAATGGACTCTTGCAACCCTGACCTCCCGCTCCAGTTCTGCTCCCGGGGGCATCTTCTCCTGACTTAACACCCACTGTGCCTGGGATCACACAGCCAGGAAGCCCTAGACGGACGTGCGACCTCCAGCCTCACTGACTCCCACGGCACCCCTCGAGGCCCAGGAGCTCCCCCATGAAGATGGCAGGCCTACCAGAGCAGAAGTGAGCAGCAGGGGGCACTGGGTCTGGCAGGCGGTCAGGGCCAAGTCAGCTGCCAGGGATGGGTCTCTGCTTCGTGCACAGGTGTTGAGGAGACCCTGGGGGAGGAGATCCCCGCCTCTGGGTTTGCACGTGGACCTTGGGAGCCACTGCACATACGAGGGCCAGGCCAGAGGTCTGAGGAGTGACATGGGAGGGGTGGTGGGAACTGGAATTACCCTGAAGAAGTGGACAGTGATGTCGTGGGTGAGGGCACCATCATGGGAGAAGTTCCTCTGCAAGATAGTAGAGGCCAGTGAGGAAGGAAGGCAGAAGACGAGGGTGGGCGGCCACATGCTGTCCCTCATCCCCCCACACCTGGCTGCTTTCACAGGTCGTTCTCAGAGCTTGAGGGGGAACAGCCTCCAGAACGAACTTGAACAGAAAATCTCACCTCATTTCTGCTGCTCCCCAGTTACCCTATAAGCTCCGCACAGATGACCAGAACCTCAGATCAGCCTCCAGCTACGTGGTGCATTTTTACAAAGCCTTCTGTGGGGGCACAGTACCTCCCGTCCCTGACTGTGCACAAGCAAGGGCGGGCACCCTTCGGAGCCTGAAGAGCCAGGTGTGGTGGGCACTGTCTGGCTTCTGTGCCCAGAGGTGAAGCGGGCAGGTCAGTCAGCACTTCTGGGGCCCAAACCACTAACCTGAGGAAGGTTCTGTGAAGGAGTCATCTTCCAGAGAGGGCACTGGCCCCGGTCTCTGGTCTCGCTGCCTGTGTCCAACAGGGTGAACGACTCCCTGCGGCTCCAAGTGCC